AGCTTACTCGGCGGGAGATCGGTAATAAAGTTTATCGTTAATTCTTACTAAGGTCGGGTCGGTATAGGTAGAGTAGCGAGCTCGCTATATAGGCGATAGCGTTTCGCCTTCGACTATTAACAGATTCTATAGGTACGGATATAGGCCGCAATATCCTCGGCTATTTTCGGCTAGAAGTACTTTCGGCGTATTAGGTCTATAGTCTTAGCTATACTAAAGTGTCTAGCTAAAGGGTCGTCGTAGTATATACATATTAGCTACGTACGTAATACGTAGTCCTTAGGGATATATAGCGCATCGCCGTAATAGATAAGGTTACTACGACGTAAATAGCTAGCCGGGAGGTTAGAACTACTTAAAGAGCCTAAGCTACCCGACGGTAAGCTTGTCTCGTATAAGCCTCCTCCTCTCGCTTACTCTAGCTATTATAAAGTACGTACAAAACTAAGGATTATATTAGGCGTCTCGTAGTAGGGCCCGTTATTCCTAACGATAGTAGCCGCTACTCTTACGGGACTGCTAATAAAACTCTTGCGTTCCGCTAGCGCTATACTAGCGTCTCGCATCCCTATATATATAATAGAGATGCGTTTTATAATCGGCTCGATATCCTCGGGCAGATTTAACTATAGAGCTAGTTTCGACTATAATATAGAGAGAAGATTGTTCGCTGCCTACGACTCGCTTTTATAGTCGCTACGTCGCGAAGGTATATCGGCTAGATTTCGCTTACTAGCCCGATGTTTAATAGTAAAGTTAAAAGGTATAAGGAAGGTTGCCTATCTTACCTACTTTCCGATAAGCTACTTTATCTTTATAAAGCCCTTAAGATTAGCGTAGTCGATAACGTGTTAACTACGCAGGTCGTATACTAAGCGCCGTCGAGGTACGGGCGCTAATACTTAAAGGACTCGACAACCGCTAGGAGCTCCTAGTTATAGGTCTTATAATTCGTCTCGGCTAGGACTATTTTTCGTAACTAGAAGGTAATAGGGTGCTAATTCCTATCTTCGCTCTATTGTAATATAATCCCTACTAAGGCGAACGTAGAGGTATCGGTTTCGATACGTAGGGGCTTCGTAGGATTATAGTATCGTAATATCGAGGCCGAGCTAAAGGCAGCCTTTAGCTAGCGGAACGCTTGCTCCTCGCTTTCGCCCTACTAGACCTAACCTAGCTTCCGGCTATTTACGGCGCCTTTTAATAGGGCAGTTAGCGGTATAACGATTCGGGAGTAATTTAGAATAAACCTCCGATAGAAGTTGTAGAATCTAAGGAAGGATTAAACCTCCTTTAGCGTTAATAGGCGAGGCTACTTAGTAATAGCGTTTACCCTACGCTAATCTATCGATACGCCTTCGGTACTAACGATAAACCCGAGGAATTCGACTTCTTTCTTCTAGAAGGAACATTTCTTTCTATTCGTATATAAGGCGAACTTCCGGAGCCGCGTAAGGATAGCGCGTACGTCTCGTATATAGTCCTCTCGCGTTTTGCTATAAATAAGAATATCGTTAAGGTAGACGATATAGCAAATATTAATAAGGCTAGCTAACGCCCTATTAATATATCCTTAGAACGTAGTAGGAGTATTAGTAAGCCTAAAAGGCATTACCTTATACTCGAAGTACCCGTACCGCGTACGGAACGTAGTCTTCTACTCGTCGCCTCGCTTAATATAGATACGATAATACGTATCCTATAGGTCTAAGGACGTATACTATTCGGCGTCCTTAAGCCTATTAAGCGTTTCGCTAATAAGAGGCAGGGGGTAACGATTTTTAATAGTAATCTCGTTTAGCCCCCTATAATCGACGTAGAGTCTTAGACTACTATCCTTCTTTAGTACGAATAGGATCGGCGTACCCGCCTCGCTTATACTAAGCTAGATCTAATTATTCTCTAAGGCTAAGCTTAGGTAATTACGAAGGTCGCTAAGCTCTCTTCCTAAAGAATAGTAGAGAGGTTTATAAGGCGGCTTCGTTCCGGGGATTAGGTCGATCGTATACTCTATATCTTCGGGGAGCTTACGTCGCGCTTCGGGTATTATAGTAAAGACGTCTTCGAAGTCTTTAAATTCTTCTAGCAAGGAGGAACCCTTAGCGATATCGCGAAGTTAGCGAACGCTAATCGTATATATATATAGAGCGTTACGTATATCCTTCTAGAATTCCTATAGTTCCCGTATACGTATCGTACGCGCTACGGCTTCGTTCCTATAGGTCTAGGCATCCGTCGAGCTATCGACGATTACCTTTTAATCGCGCCTCTAAGGCCTACTAAGAATAATATTAGGGAGGGATATCTCGAAAGCGTAGAACACTCCGGTAGTAATACGTTCTTAGCCTATAGAGTCGGCGATCCGTAAGCGCAAATAATACGCTCTATAGTAGTATCCTTAGTCGCCCTAGAAACTGTCGGTACTAGGTAGTACGGTATTAATAATCCGCTAAGGCTAGTATCGTAGAACGAATTCTTAAGATACTATATTAATATTAGTAGCATTATCTAATAAGCATTCGACGGACACTTTCCCTTCTTACGTAACGATTGCTCCGCGTACGCGTCCCGTAGGTACTACTACTACTAAGCTACTTAGTTAAGATTCCGTACCTATCCCTAGCTCTTAGGAAATGCCTTGTCTTTTTCCTTAGCCTTTGAGTCGTTCTTCTTCTCTTTAGCGTTAGCGGCTACCTTACGTACCGTAGGGTTGTCGTCTTTCTAGAAATAGCGGTTCGGGTACGCGTTCTTATAATAGCCTTTCTAGCGATAGCTATAACATTCGACCTTACTAATATTATACCCGCCTTACGAGTTATCGCCCTTCGTATACTTTCCGCCTACGCTACGGTCGCAATTTAACTACTACTTATAGGCCTAACTATTAGATCGACGCTTCTTGCCTTTACTACCTCCGGTTTTATTATAGTTACGATCCTTACGTTTGCTAGATAGCTTATTAGGGGTCTCGATACGCGTCGTAAGCTCTACGAGTTCGTAACGCGTCGTTAGCACTATATAGTATTTAATAATCGCGCTACGAATCGCCGGCTAGAGTTTAACGAAGAGATAGCGGATCCTATACTCCTCGCTATAGTCGCTAAGTTAGTCTTCGAGCACTACGAGCTTAAGGGCAAAGCTTTAGACTAACTATCCCTTACGCTAACGAGCTGCCTTATACTCGAGGGTTACGTCTAGTATACGGTTTATAGGGTCCCCGACGTAGTCCCGATAGAAGGTTTTAAAGTCCTAATAGGTATAATTCTATAGGTCCTTAAGGCTATTTTTATTATACTATCGCTCCTACGTATCGCCTACGAGATATATAATACTATAAAGCACCTTGCTTTCGTCCGTATAATAGGTAGCTCCGGATAGTATAAAGGTAATAGAAAGTTCTCGAAGGAATCGCCTCGACTCCTTAATTATATCGCCTTTAAAGGGCTTAGGTTCCTTTAGGCGAGGCTTAATAGCCGCAAGACTAGCGACTGCGTAGCTTATACTAGGTATAGTAGCTACGCTTAGCGCACTTTCGGAAAAAGGTAGTCGATACGAGACAGATTTAGCTCTCTAAGATTTAGGCCTCTAAATCGACTCGTTAGCTAATTCTTCCTCGTCCTCGTCCTTATCTAGGGATAGGGTCCTCGTAGGACCCTCGCCGGTAGTACCGCTACTCGGAGCTAGCGTATCGCCGGCGTCCCTAAGGGCACGAAGACGCGTATTCTCTCGCTTAGCTTCTTAAGCCTATACTTCTAGCCTAAGTACTTCTTACTTAGCTAGAAATCGTTCGAGCCGTAGGTAGGTCGCTTCTCGGCGCGCCTAATATTCGGCTTCGTCTTATTATATCGCTACGTCGTTTTCTAATACTATCGGCGCTCCTAGGGCATTATTCTACGCGTTTCCCGCGCTCGGCGTATTTAGATTACTTACGTTTATCTTTCGGGGTTCTATAGGCCGCTACGAAGGGTAGACAGTTTAGAACTATAAGAAAATAGGTATATAGCAACGTATAGAATACCCTCTACTAATCGCCGTAGTAGAAAGTAGAACTAAACCGTACCTTTCTTAGAACAGGGCAGAGCGTTTACTATTAACTAGGCTACGTACGGATAGTATATATACCGAGCCGGCAACCGAGTATATCCGTACGAGCGACTAAGCTTTTCCGCGTATATACTAAGTAGGCTTTACGCTAGCGAGACAGCACCGTAGTATACGTAATAACATTATATAATTGTTATATAGGCTTGCTAAGGCATAATAGGAGACTTCACTTGCTTAGGTTCTTATATAGATCCTAAGTTTCCTAAAATCCCCTAGTTAATTTTCTTAGAATAGTAAAATATAGGACTCGGACTCCTTAGATTATTGCCTAGTAGTCCTTAGCTAATATATAGAATATAGTTGTTACTACTAGATTGTATATTCTTCTATTTTTAAAATATTAGGCTATAATACAATATATTTATTATATTGTTATTATTATACTTAAAGTATGTAGTATATAGTATTACGTATATAATGCCTAAGGCTAAAACTACGCACTTTATCTTTAGGCTTCCTATAGATTAGCCCTCTTCTAAATACATTACAGTTTATATTAAGTAGTTATAAGCCCCCTACGTTTCTAACGCGTACAATACGTTTAATACGTATTCTAATAGTTACTCCGACTACTGCGTAGCTAGCGCTCGTTACTAAAAATTGCGCCGACACTATTATCGTCGCCGCCGCCGCCCTCGAGTATTCTAGCAGGTGCTAGTCCGACTCGAGTCGGTTAATAACAATAGTGTCGGCTGTCCGCTATACTAAGACCTAGGCGCGCCTATCGGCCGCCTCTTAAGACGAGTCTATAATAGTCTCTTTCTATATTATCGCCGTCGCTGTCCGTAATAGCTCCCCCTACAACCTCTAGCGCTTATATAAGCAACATTCCTAAGCTAAAGAATAAGGAGAATTACCTATTATAGTCGTATACCGCTAAAGGCGCCCTTAAAGGTATGTCGGTCTAGCGCTATATATAAGGCACCCGCTAGCGACCCCTTTCTAAGGCCTCTAGTAAGTCTTCTAAGGAGTTTGAAGACCGCTAAGATAAATAGGACTCTAAAGATTAAATAGCACGTACCTAGATCTTTCCTAATTGTGTTAGTAACATTTAACAATTACTGCTTAGTCTGTCTATATCCTAGGAAGTATAGGACTTCCTTAAGAAGAAATACACTAGTAAAGGTAGGTCTACTAAATTTATGCTCTACTAGGAATATATTACCCTTCGGTATAATAGCAAGGACATTAAGAAGTTCTATAACGAATATAAGAAGAAGCTCGGTGCCTTAAAGGATACTAAATTAGCTATTAGTTAATACTAGGCTGTCTATATATTTATTATACAAATCGTACCGTTCTACGAGGCTTTCGTATAGATACGACGTAAGTAGATGCGCGCCTTAGAATATACTATTAACGACAGCACCCTTAACAATATTATTAGCGCGTTACTTAATAAGAATATAGCTTAATTGAACTAGGCCTAATACAATAGTTTCTTCGGTCTCTAGCGCTAGCAACTATAAGGCAATAGCAATAGCAATAGTCGAGGTAACTCGAACCGTAGCGGTCGTAGTAGCCGCGGAAATAATAATAATAATAGCAATAGTCGAGGCTGCGGTAGAAGCAACTAGAATAGTTATTAGTCTAACCGTAAGAAGTGCGCCTATTGTTAGGGGTCGCACCCTTCTAATCGCTACTATAATAAGACTCTTATCTAAAGGAGGAAGACCGACTGCGCCGTAAGTAGCAGAAGGCTAAGAAGAAGGGGGTGCAGTAATAGTAGTAGCAGCAGCGTAGACTAACTACATAGCAATAATAGCAACCCTAGCCTAGTACGCAAGGCCTATTTGCTAAGAATACACTACCCTTATTCTACAACAATCTACGTCCGGATTTAGTACCTAGTTTAGGCGGCAACTACGCCTTTAATGCGATTACTATTAGTAATACGGCATCTACAGCGCTTACTATAGCGACTCGTACTACTAACTAGGTTGTAGACTCTAGTACTAGCATGTATATAGTTAACGACCCTGCCCTGCTTCTTAAGTATAAAGGCTGTTACATTCCTATTCGGTTTAGTAGCAATACGAAGTACGTAACAATAGTAGGCGTTGCTTAGACAGAGGTAGTTAACGAGCATAGTGTTAGCAATATAAAGTTGTTAGAGATACTGTATATACTAGGTCTAGTAGCTAACCTCCTATCTACTAAGAAGCTAGCCGATAAGGGCTGTTTCTATCGGAATAACAAGCGTGTTCTGTTTACTATTATTAACGGCTCTAAGGTTACTATTGCTTAGATATACCGAAAGAATAGTCTCCCTTATCTATATATACTAACCTCTAGTCTAGATAGTAAAGTAGTTGCCCTTTTATTAAAGAAGGGGGTGCCTATAGGCACTATAGATAAATAGCATCTACGATATAGCTATATTTATTACCGCAAGCTGCTAAGAATAGAATCTGAGGGTTAGATTATTATTACTAGTGCTAAGAAGGACTTCCGCAACTGCATTGCCTATCGTATAGCTATATTATATAAGGAATACAATCGGCTGCCGCGCGTACGACTATCTACAATCTATTATATTGTCTATATAGATGTAGTTACTATTACTAACCCTAGTCTATTATAGGAACGCTACTTTACATTGTTTATATACGCTAAGTTAGCCTATCGATACGAATATACTAGCTTACTAAAGTTAGGGGCTATAGTAGCTATTAAGGATTATCGTATATACGTCCGTATACAAACTAGCTATTCGATCCTAATCTACCGCCTCGATAGAGGGGGTAAATACGGCGGAAATCAGCTATTAAGCTAGGCTCGTAATTAGGGCATTATACTACAGGTTACAGCACCTTATTCTTCTACTTAGAATAGCCTAGCTAAGGTTAGCAACTATATCGTATATACGACCGCTCGGAAGATAATGCTCTATACGAATTTACTAAAGGCCCTATAGCCGTATGCAGTTACTACTGCTATATAGATAGATAGATATTTCATTTGCCTATTGTAGTGCCTTTCGGCCTATGTAGGTCTGTTTCTATATATTGTTTTAGGTAGGAAACCAACTTAGTTAGTAAAAACCTCCCTCCTGTCCTATTTACAAGTATTGATCTTCCTTGTTTTCTTATTCTCCTTCCTCTAGGGTATACTAGTGTTATAGTTGTTACCCTCTAACTACCTTGCCTACTGCCCTACCCTTCTTTCCCCCTCTTCTTCCCTCCTTCTTATCTACTCCTTAGTTTCCCTTACTAGTGCGAATTGTTGTACAAATCCCTGTTTAATAATCTACTTTACTATCCTCTTTAGGTCTTCTTTGCTCTAGATTAGCTTATCGTATTCCCTTTCTATTGCTTTTAGTCTCTAATCGCTTCTGCCTTCTAACTATTAAGGGTAGACTAGCAGCATATACTTAGGGTTCTGAGATTGGTAGCTATATTAGTAAGCCCTGCTTTCAATTCCTAGGACGTTTCTTCTAAATAGGTAAGATCTGAATCTAATGTATTTAGATCTAATTTAGATAGCTAGGCTTGCCTCGGCCCTATTTAGGTCCTTATAGAGTTAGTAGTTATATTAACCAAATTTGATTAGTACCTTTAGGGTTCCTAGTCTAACTTGTGTTTTGTTCTATTCCTACTCCTATAGGTATCTAGCAATTGATTCTGCTAGGCTTTGTTTCTCTCCCTTTAGTTTGTCTTCCTTTAGCCTTATATTTAGTCCTTAAAGCTCTTTCTCTAGCATTTCTCTTATTAAGACTCTATATTGCTCTAGGTCTTTAACTTTCTAGGGAGTTATTTGTAGTCTGTCTCGCCTCCTAGTCCTAATGTACTAGGCTTTTATCTTGTCTAGTACCTTTTAGATAGTCTATTAGGCTAGGTATTCTATTATCTTTGCTGCATATTAGTGTCTTAGTCCCTTGAAGTATTATTTGACTAGTAGGATCCCTAATTCTATTTCTACTACCCTTGTTAGTATAGTTTTGTATACTCCTAGGATTTTCTTTAGGCTTTAGGTTTGGGACCTACTAACTAGTTGTTTAATCCTCTTTAGTGTTTTCTCCTAGGCTATCTATATCTATGCTCTATATAGCATTGCTAGTTTAACAATTGCTTTGTATATAACTTTAGCTTTCTCAAATATAGCCCCCTATATAGAGGCTGTAAGCCTATTAATAGATTGTATGTTAGCATCTGCCCTCTACTTTGCCTTCTTTACTTATAGTCCCTAATTTAGTTTTAGATCTAGCTAGATCCCTAGTACCCTAAGCTCTGCTAATAGTTGGGTTTCAAAGCCTTAGATAGTGATTAATTGCTTTATATTATAGGTTGATTTAGCCTTACTAAAGTGGATAAGCTAGTACTTTTCTAGGGCGAATTTTGCTCTATGCCTCCTTGCCTATTTTTTATACTCCTAGTGCTTCTCTTCTAGGATCTTACAGTTAGTTTCTATTGTCTTAGACTAGGCTAGGATGTTCGTATTATCTACAAACCCTAATGCTAATGTGTTTTTTAATTCTAGGAGTAGGAGTAGGTCTACTATAAAGATAAGGAAGAGGATTAGGGAGAGTATTGATCCTTAGGGGATTCCCTTTTCAGTTAGCATTGGGTCTAATTTGAATTTGCCTAGAATAAGCTATATTAATCTTTCCTATAGGAAGGACTAGATAAATTGGACTATCTAGTTTAGTATAGCTTTCTATTTAAGTATATATAGGAGCCTTTTATAGGAGACATTATTAAAGGCTCCTAAGATATTAAGGGAGAGGAGGGTTGCTACCTAGTTTTAACTATAGTGCTAGATATACTTAATCTGTTCTATAATTAGTTCTATAGCTGTTAGTGTTAACCTCTTCTTTCTTCCTCCTATCTAGCCTTTAGGAAGGATATTCCTTTCCTCGGTAAAGGTTGTTAGCCTTTTAGCGACAATTTTTTCTAGCACCTTACCTATTGTATTAAGTAGGGCTATTAGTCTATAGGCCTTGAGCTGTATATAGTCTTCCTTCTAGGGCTTCCTTAGCACTACTGTTAGGGATTTCCTAAATAGTCTTAGGTAGTGTCCTAGTACTAGGCTTTGTAAAAAGATATTAGCTAGTGCTAGGGCTAGCCCCTTCCTATATGCTTTTAGAAGTTTGTTATAGATCTTGTCTTCTCTTAGTGCCTTATTGCCTAGAATTTTCTTTAGGATCTTTTTAATGGTTTCGGGTTTAACCTAGGTGTCTCTTAGTATACCTAGTAGTAGAGTCTCTTGTTCTATCTCCCTTATGTCTAATAGGTCTGCTTATACTTTTCTATAGAAGAAGTGTTAACCTAAGGCTCTTGCTTTCCCTTCTATTGTAGTCTGCATTTGTCCTTGTTAGTCTATAATGTCCGGGAATTATAGTAGCATATCCTTATCCTATTTAGGTCTCCTTACCTATTTAGCTATCCTCTATATCTCTTCTAGTTTCTTTATAATTATTCCTATTATAGATCTCTATTCTTGTATCTTGTCTTTCTTAATCTAGATCTTCTTTTCCTAATAGGCTTTGTTGTAGTTGTCCTATGCTTCCTAGATATAGGTTTATATTTACTGCCTCCTAGCCTTCCTTACTACTTTAACCTTCCTTATACATTTACTAGTCTAGTATAGTTACTAGTATAGTGAATGTTTCTTTGCTAAGGTATGCTTTCTAGCTACCTGTTTTAGGATTCCTATTAGTTCTTCTACTGCTTTGTTAATGTCCTCTAGCCTTAGTAGGTGCTTTGTTAAGAGTTCCTCTAGTTTTAGGTCCCTTTCTAGTTCCTCCCTAATCCTGCCCTATTAGGTACCCTTTTAGTTAAGCTTCTCCTCTAGTTCCCTTTCCTAATTAGCTTAGACATTCAGTTTAATCTATACCGGGAAGTGGTCTAATAATTCTTCTAGTTCCTAGTTAATCCTATATCTTATAATCCTATTCCTAATCTAATATAATGCAAAGTATAGGTCTAGTGTGCTACTGCTTCCTCTTGCCTCCTAAGTAATTAGTCCCTTTAGGGTAACAATTTCTATTTCTTCCCTCTCTAATATGTTAATTAGTCTTCCTACTAGGAAGTAGTAAGCTAGGGTAAAGTCTAAGCCCTAGAGGGGGTAGTAGAGGTTGAAATCCCTAAGTAGGATTTAGTAGGTGTTCCCCTAGATAACTCTAGGTAGTCTTTCTAGGGTTTTTAGTTAGGTACTGCTTCTTAAGTCTAGTAGTAGGTTGTATATGCAGTAGACTTAGAGTGTACCTTAGGATGTCTCTACTTAAACTAATGTTAGGTCCCTATCCTCCTATAGTATAGCCTGCTAGGTTTCTGTATCTATCTCCTTACTAATATAGATACATATCCTTAGGGCTCCCTAGTTGTAGATAATTAGGTAGTATCTTAGGTCTTTAACTATTACTAGTCTCTTTGTATATAGGTTGAGCTAGGGCTCTTAGATTGCAATAATGTAATATTCTTTTAGGTTTAGTACTTAAAGGAAACTCCTCTATACCTTGTCTTTACTCTTGTTAACATTGTACTATATAATATTCAGTAATGTTGTAATGTTTATTAGGTTTTATCTATATTATTTCCCTATATAATTTCCTTTAGTCTTCCCTTACTTTAGACTAATATTTAACTGAGCTTTGTCTGCCCTACTTCCTTTCCTGCAATGTTAAGGTATCTTAGTCTCCCTAGTTGCTAGTGATTCTCTTATGCTAGTAAGGCCCTGAATGTAAACCTATTATCTTGTCTAGACCTCTTTTGTAGCACTTAGCTAGGTTGCTTCTGTACCTAGCTGCCCTAGCTTGTTATATATCTTTTTAGTATATTGATTCTGGCTTCCTTTGCCTTCCTCGCTACCTGTATTCTTACTAGGTATTCCTTCGCTTAAGAGGGGTGTCTTTTAGTATAGCATACATATCTTACTTCTCCCTTATATGCTTTGCATTCTTTAACCTAGTAATCCCCTATATAATAGGAGTAGGTGTTAGTTGTCTTTATATACTTAGCTACTAAGTGTCTATAGTGTTAACATTTGAAGCACTGCATTATCCTATAGGTGCTTCTATATATCTCTGTTTCTAATCTCTTATAGTCCTAGAACAATCCCTAGTCTAGCACTATATTAGCTTGCTCTATACTCCCTACCTAGATGATTAGGGAAGACTGCTTCTTAGTCTCTTCGATTTTCCTTTTAATCTATACTACTTTTGTAATCTTTAGGCCTAGGCATATAGCTTGGTTTTATCTCTATAGGCTCTTAATATCCTGTTCTTCCTTAAAGCTTCTTGTTATACTATAGGCTATAATTATAAATTGCTGTTAGGAGACCTTTGCTGTTTTCCCTATCTTAGTTGTCTATTCTTTATGTATTTCTAGCTTCTTTTTGTCCTGCTCTTGTACTATAAACAGCTTAATTACCCCTTTTCCTTCGTTTCTAGCCCTAATTACCTCTTTAACTGCGATTCTTTCTACAATCTCTTTCCCTATAAGTCCTTAGATTTCCTTTTGCTCTTATAGGTCCGTAATGTAGACTCTAACTACTATCCTCGGGGGTTTTAGCGCCTCCTAACTAGCTACTACTGCCTAGGTGCGGTAGTTTAGGCTTATTTCCTATTGTTTCTTCGTAATCTTTGCTGCGACTGTATTAGCTACCTTTGTAATTACGTAGCTTGCCTAGTTATAGATTGCTTTCAGTCCTCTAAGGAGTTCTAAGATCATTATCCTGTATACCCTCTTAGGGGTTCTTCTATCTTCCGCCTTTAGTACCTCCTCTGCCCTAGTATATAGTACTTTCTATTCGTCCTCCCTTCCTTCTTAACTGTCTTCCCTTCGTTTCTAATTGTTCGCTGCCATTTTTTTTTCTTTTTATCGAGGATCGGTTACTACTGCTATATAGGTCCTTAATATTACTCCTAGAACCTTAGAAGGTCTTAGCCCCTATGCTATTGTAGCTAGGGAGCTTAATTAGTCTCGAAAGCAGCTACGCCTTTAATATCTTCGTGCCTATAGCTATACTACTATTATATATAATTACGGAGTTGCTTATAGAAAGAAGATAGATAGTAGAGGCCTTGTTAGCAAGCTAGTCGGCTATGCTAAGGACTTAGTAGACTTAGGAAAATATATAATTTACCTCCCTAACTAGTATAAGGTTATTCTATTAAAGGATGTCTAATTTATTAAGACGGCTAGTAAGCTATTGCTTCTAGAGGGCATGAATCTATACGCTAATCCTAACGACCTAGCTAAGGACGAGTTTGTTATACTCGAGTCTATTATGCCGGCTCTGTTCAATTCTATAAGTAACGAGGCACCGCTACCTTAGGAAGCTGCTAGTATTGTTTAGCATATTCTAGCTTAATAGGAAGATGCTCTAGAAGAACTAGCTTAGGAGGTAGCTAATGAAGTCGCTAATCTATTACCGCTCGAGGATAACCTGCCGACTATTTAACCTCTAAGTAATAAGGATAGTTTCTAATCCGCTAAGGAGTAGCCTATATATAATCTGTAGGCTAAGAAAGGTGAGCCTAGTTAGTTGCCTAAGTTTAAGCGGCTAACCGAGACTAGTAGTCGTTCTATACGCAAGATACGAAGCAATAAGAGCGCTCGTAAACTGTTACGTAGTTACCTAGCTAATATAGGCGCCTATCGCAAGGAGCGCCGCACCCTTGCTAATATGCTAATAGCCTATATAAAGGGCTTTATAGCCGCCTGCTATATTGCTAAACAGAAGCCTAACGATGCTATTCCAATTCCGAAGAGCTTTAAGGCCGCTAAGGAGTCGTAGCACTAGCCGTAATAGAAGGAGGCCTATAAAGCTAAATACAAGTTATTAATAGACAACTATATATAGGTATACGTTTCTCGGCTAGAAGTACCTAGAGGTCGCAAGGTTGTCCGTAGCCGATAGGTATTTACTATTAAGCGTAACGCTAATAGTAAGGTAAGCCGGTTTAAGGCTCGATAGGTTGTCTATAGCTTTATATAGATTAAGGGACAGGACTATAATAAAACCTATGCGGCTGTCGCTAAGCTATCTACGCTGCGAGTACTATTTAGCCTAATTGCTTATTACGACCTAGAGGCTAAGCAATATAACATCCTAACAGCCTTCCTTAATACGCTTATCGGTAATAAGTATAAGATCTACGTTAAGCAGCTACATAGCTTTAAAGACCGTAGTAGCAAGAATATAGTCTGTCTATTACTAAAGGCACTATATAGTCTAAAGCAGTTACTAATGCTATAGTACGAAGAGCTTCGAAAGTACCTAAAGAGCCTAGACTTTGTACCGATAGTAGCTAATGTATATGTGTTTAAACACCTTATTAGCGGGTCTATTATCGTTATCTACGTAGATAATATAATTATTATCGCCTACACTCTATTAGCACTAGAGGTAGTAGCTTAGTTGCTAAAGGACCGTTTTAATATACGAGAGTTAAGCGACCTATACTACTATCTCGGTATACGGATTATTCGTAACCGCGATTAGCGTACTATTTACGTCGTTTAAGATGCCTATTTAAATAGGCTTAGTAAGAAGTATAGCATACAGGGCCGAGTAGCTCCTACTATACTAATAGTATCTCGATACGTTAAGATATCGATTTAGTATACACCTAAGGGCTATACTACTAGCGCTGCCTTTAAGACTTAGTATTAGGAAGGTGTTAGTAAAGCGCTATAGCTAGCTATAATTACACGACCTAATGCTTGCTATACTATAGGCCTACTATTACGATACATTTCTAACCCGACTAAGGAGTACTATGCCGCGCTTCTTTAGCTTATTAAGTACCTAGTTAGCACTCTAAGCCGTAGCTTGTACTTCTAAGGTATACAGAATAAGAACGAGCTTAACTTTGTTAGATACTGTAACGCTTCCTAGGCTAATAATCCGATTACTCGTCGCTCTATAGGAGGCTTCTACTTTACTATTACCGGCGGACCTCTATTATATAAGTCTAGCCGTTAGACGCTTATTATACTATCGTCTATAGAAGCCGAGTATGTTTAGTTAATAACTAGTGCGAAGGAGGCTATTATACTAGCTCGGTTGTTAGAGGAAATTAGTTACAAGGGTACTATTAAGCCTATTATACTATACAAGGATAATTAGTTAGTAATCGCTATTACTTAGTTAACGAGTGTCGATAGCTATACTAAGTATATAGACGCTAGAGTCTACTATATCTATAAGAAGATCGCTAATAGTATAGTCGCCGTTACCTAGATTAGTATATACGACTAGATCGCTAATAGCTTTACTAAGCCGCTTAATAAGCTTAAGTATAGTCGCTTTGTTTAATAGTTAAACTTAGTAGATTATAAGGCTGCTATTAAGAGCGCCGCTTAGCCTGCTACTAAGTACTAAATAGATGGTTTCATTGTACTAGCTTACCGGCCTCTAATTAGCTAGCTAATAGTACCCCGGGGGTAGCATTAATCCTAGGTCGGCGATATGTTTGTTCGTTTATTTGTTAGATTGCTTTGTTACAATAGCCTAAAAGTAGTCTAGTTGTTTCTATACCTAATACCCTTTGTTTGCTTTGTTTAGCCACACACACGCGATAAGGGGGTGACTTGAAGTGTGTAGCATATAGTATCACGTGCATGATGCCTGAGGCTGAAACTGCGCACTTCATCTTTGGGCTTCCTGCAGATCAGCCCTCTTCTGAATACATCACAGTTCACATCAAGTGTTACTGTGCTAGTAGACAATTAAGCTATCTCCAAGCTCTGTATTCGCTTGGAGCATGCAGTCTCGCAGGAATGCTGACAACCTGCTAAGGTGGCGGTATAATCCAGGTTCATAGGACGACTTTGTCCAAAAGCATTGTCGCTGGTGTATTACAAGATGCATGCGCCCGCCACTCTCTACCGTCTTGCCTATCTTGGCAACAACAAGGCAGACAAGGCAGCATGAGGGCTTTCGAGATGAGATCACGCAGTCTCGTCTGGCAACGCTTCTCGACTTGATCGAAGCTGCTCCGTCATGGCCGACCTTGCTGGGACGATCGTCACTTTCGTGGACATCTCCATAAGGCTGGTCAAGTTTATTCACGAAACCAAGAAAGGCGCTGATGCCGTCGACGATGATTGGCTTCAGCTCGGCCGCGAGATGCAAAGAGTAGCAGACTATAGTAAGGCCATCCGCAATGTCTTCTAGAAGGAGTTCAAGGAGAGTGGCAAAGCGAAAGATAATAATACGACTGTGAATATATAGCAGAGGCTGTCTTCAATCCTTAAAGACTCTCAATTCATTCGATCAAAATACAGCGTAAGCTTATAGAAATCAAAGGCGAGGACGGCTCTTCTACGTTCGACAGAGTGAAAAGGCATTTCAGGAAGCTCTCCAAAGAGGGCGACTTTGTGAATTGTATTACTTTAATAACAAGTCTATAAGCACTGCTAGTACGGTATACGAAGGCACCAAATTTGTTGATCGCGCGGGATAGCTGGCAAACAACCGATCCAAAGGAGTATCATAAAATTCGGCGCTATCTGGCGCGTTCTAAAGTCATACAGCAGCAACACCACTCGAACGCTCATCGCTCATAAGCCTCATGCTCCAGCGAAAAACGCCATCTCTGCCTGTATGTCCAATTGCCAGCTCTACGCGCCCTCACTACCAAACTCCTTCGTCCATTCCGCATTCCGATTGAGATCTTCCTGACTCACAGTCGGCCGCGAGGCCTTGATCGCCTTCACGAAATCCTTCACCTGCAATGGAGGCTCAAGCAGTTGATCCGTCTCGACCTGCGTCCAATTCATCTCGATAGCACCAGGATCTCCGGGACTGCAGGGCGTGAGCTTCTCCTGTCCATCAACTTCCACCTTCTTGTAATGTGTCGCGGTTTGAATCTTTCGTACAGGCTGCATCAGCGCGTCTTGCACGGCGATCGAGATGTCAGATCCGGAGTAGCCTTCGGAGTATTTCGCTAATGTCCGATAGTCGTCTGCTTGCAGTTCGCAGGGTGTAGATCCAACCGCCAGTTCGAACATTTTCATTCGAGCGGGTTGATCGGGCAGGGAAATGTGTACTCTTCGCTGGAAACGCCTTCGGATAGCTGCATCGAGTTGCCAGGGAATGTTTGTTGCGCCAAGAATCAGAACACCTTTCGAGTCGCGTCCCACACCATCCATTTGGACGAGTAGTTCGGTCTTGATTCTTCTTGATGCTTCGGACTCGCCTTCGCCTCGAGGACCACAGAGGGCATCGATTTCGTCAATGAAGATAATTGAAGGTTTGTTTTCGCGAGCAAGATTGAAGAGCTGCTTCACGAGACTGCGATATAAGGTCAGCCTATACACATAAATTCATGGCAACGTTCCGTGTTTACCGTTCGGACTCTCCCATCCACTTTGACACCAAATCTGACGAGGATACTGAGAAGAAAGTGCTATTTGCTTCCGTCGCAACCGCCTTTGCCAAGTATGACTTTCCTGTACCGGGTGGACCATATAATAGAATTCCCTTCCAAGGCTGTCGCTTTCCGGTAAAGAGATGTGGAAACTTTATGGGCAATATGACCGCTTCCTTAAGCGCCTCTTTCGCACCCTCCAGACCTGCCACATCTTCCCACTTGATGTTGGGCTTGTCTGTCAATATTGCGCCTTGCAGAGCACCTCTGAGCTTCTTACTGTCTGCGTCCTGCTCATCACCATCGTCGTTGCCTTTCCCGGACCCATTCGACGCCTTGCCGTTAGCACCCATCGCCGCCGGTTTTCGTTTCCCATCCTGTTCTGCCAAATGATTCTTCAGCTTCTCCGCTCGCTCCATATATTCACCGGCCTTCTGCCGTATCATCTCTTTCGACTTCTGGTTCTTCTCCCATTTCAGTGCCAGCATGAAGAGCTCCAGCGCTTGGTAGTATGCTTGATATGCCTTCTCATATTCGCCTGCAGTGTCTTGTTCAATTGCTTTCTTCACTTGTTCGATCGCGCGGCCGAGAAAATCAGTATTCGACATGCTGGGCGGCGGGTGCTGCTTTCAGCAGCGGTGATGATGGAGGAAGCTCTTGTTTTGGCTGTTCGGTGGAAGCAGGCAGATGTTGGTATGCTTGGCGCCGAGCGATATATGTAGATACCTCTAGCGGAGTCTCTTGACTTCTGCAGCGGCGTTTGGGCCAGCGATGGAGGAGATGTACTGTTGTGTTTCTTGCAGAGCCGAGACCAGCTTTGGCGGTCGAGCGAAGCGCGATCGCGGGGCAACCGAAGTGGAAGGAGCAACCAGGCGGAGTGACGAAAGTCGTGTTCACGAAATAATGTACCTGGTCATGACATGAACAGAATGGAGTCTGGTGAATGGTATTGACATTGTTCAGGGCAAGAAGGATGAGTCTGAGCTTTTTGGATCTTCGTCGAGCCGTTTACAAGGCCAAACCACTTTCTCAAATCGTGACCGTGAGCCGGGAACCGCGATATCTGGCATTCATGTGACAGCGTGAACCCTTGCTACTTTTCGACTTCATCTCATCGTGCTCCCATCGACACGCATCCAAGTCTACTGCTGTATCCGCGATTAAACCTCCGACATATGTTGCAGTAGCCGCTTCAAACCAAGCTCGTCTCGACCTGCGCTCCTCATCATCACGATGGCCGAGCGAGCAAAACTCCAGGCACTTTCCGACGAGTACCAAGACCTGCAGACTCGTATGTACCACAGTTCTTGAAGTACTAAACATGTCTGATCATTCCTTAGAGCTCACTACTCTTGTCTCCGCACGTCAAAAGCTCGAATCACAGCAACAGGAGAACAAGGGAGTGCAGAAGGTACGCTCCTTCATGTCAGTAATATCCCGTTATCTAACGACTTCAGGAATTCCACTCTCTCAAAGACGATGCCAAAATCTACAAATTGGTCGGGCCAGTGCTGTTGAAGCAAGACACGACCGAAGCCAAAACCACAGTTGATGGCAGACTGGAGTACATCGAGAAGGAAATGTGAGCGGAAAAGCTGCCCGTCTCCATCGCTTTGACTCCCGAATCTGACACTCGTCTGAAAGTAAGCGAATAGAATCCAGCATCAAGGACATACAGGACAAGAGTGAAGCCAAGAAGACCGAGGTATGTGCATCTATCATGTATTTCAACCTTGAACCCGCTCTAATAATGACAGATTCTGCAAATTCAGACCCAAATGCAGCAGATATCAGCTTCTGCTTGAATGCGATCAAGCCTCTTCATCACCCAAAGCCCCAAACATGGTGCGGGACGCGAAATTTGGACGAGACGGCGTGCTCGTCTCACTCTCACCTAATTCGATATGAGTCGAACAAGTTTCCGTCTCCGAGGGCGTGTAACAGGCACTGTCTGCGCTCTCGGATGCACTGCGCTCTCTCGCGCGTGAAAGCCAACTTGACACACTGGGTTCCTTCTTGGCTGTAGTGCTATCAAGAACCGATGGAAAGGCAGCTGCAGCTGAGAACCTACGTGGCCGAGCGCTTCCAAACTCCCACCGGCTTTCTGAGACCAAGGCGTTCGCTGCAGACGCTCGGCGAGGCCTGTCCAGTGGAGCGAGTTTCCGCGGAGTGAGTCGATCAACTTCTAGAAATAGCTCCGCTACCGCGCTGTTCAGCTGCAATTGAATAGCCCTTTTGTCATTGCCGTGCCGATGCATAAGTCCTCTGATGATATGTAGGAAGTCCGGCGGAAGCAGTTCCTCAACCTCTTCAGTTTCCAAACACGTGAGACACGCCAGTCTTGCTGCCCACGCCCATAGAATCACCTTCCAAATTGGCTCTCTCGCCATCCATAGCGCTTCCGATCTCGGAAGATTTGTCTTGTCCGGGCCCATGATTTGTTCGACAAACGCCTTCAGAATGGCCGCGGCGAAGCGATTGTCTCCAATATACACCGCCTAGGCGTACCATTTCGCGAGGTGGACGTATACGGGTAGCTCTTCCTTCTCATGTGGCCATATGTCGCTTTGTGTATGCAGCGCTTCTGGCGTGATGACTCCGCGCTCTAGCCACTGGATCCATGGTGCAAAACACTCGGGACGAGCAGAGATGATGCACCAGTCGCGGAACGAAGGCCATGAGCGAAAGATCGGCGAGTCGCTTTTAGTGACAGTCGAGCGAAGGACGGTGAAGCGCTTCCAATGAGGCCATTGGTACTGAGGCGTCGATGGTGTCTTTACGTAGACGAAAACGATGTCTTGAGTGAGACTGTAGCGCAAAATCAGTGACAGCCAAACTCCCAGTGCCAAGAAAGGAACCATACATGTCAGTCGATTTGATGTCGCTTCCGCGAGTGAACGCCATTATCAATACACTGTTTGCGATGCAACGTGTAGAGAGCGAGTGGGCAGGCGGAAACGAAGTGTATTAGAGCTCTTCGAAGTAAGTGGCGGGTGCGAATCGTGAAGCAGCAACTCCGTTCGAGCGGTGGAACTGAGCCTTCCACATTGCAGACCGACTGTGCTTCTTACCATAAGAGTGCGGAGCGAATCAACGAAAATTTATCAGGACCGACGGGAACTTCTCAGACACGCACGTTTCTGGGCCCATGCAAGCAACACGAGAAGCTGATCGCGCGAGCAAAACTTTACGTTCCTGTGAGAGGCATTCTTCTAAGGAAGTCTCTTGATGTGAGGTCTCCTCGTAAGGAGCATTCCGTACCTGTACCTTCTGAAAGTCTGAGGCTTGCAGGATTTCAGCCCAGACGACGCCGGTTCTCGATCTTATCATTGCTCTCTCGCACGGCTCGTTCGCAGCATGGCTGTGAGAGCTTCAGCTGTTCATGGACGCAATCTTTTGCCTGTTCTCGATCCTCAACTCGACGAGCTCTGCCGCGACTGCAGAATGAAATGTGTCGTTCGTGCATTGGAAGATTGCCGCAAGCTGTTCTGCTTGTAGTAATGAATAATGCTCGTGGAGGGTACCTCATCCTCTTACCCTACTCCTTCCGCTGCCTCTTCGCCGCTGGCCCTCCAGCATAGCAGACCTCCTCACTTCCATGCTGGTGGAAGTCGCATGCGTTATCTTCAGCCAGTCGTTTCGAGGCCGAACGCAGAGAACGTGCATGCAGCTGAGCATTCTGGCGCTTGCACAGGTCCGCGAGGAAGGTTGGAGAAAGTCCCTCCTGGATCTTTTCAAGGTGTGATGAGCTGTCCTGCGTTGCGTACATCTCGACAAAGATCTCGTGCAGTTTACTTGGGGGCTTCAGATCGCGGCTTGGGTCTGCGTCTGGATGGTAAGCGAAGTTGATGCAGTTCTTACCCACCAAGATCAGCTCCCCGGCAGCCTTGCTTGACTCCATCCTAGCAAGCATGGCGCTGATCGCAGCGTCTTGAAATCCTGATATGCCGTACTTCTTTCCAAAGTACCATAATAAAGTGAGCAGCTCATACTCCTTGTCTTCGATGCGTTCGTCCCACACAGGAACTTGAGTGTCTTCTGAGGCAAGTGTTCCTGTGTTGAGCCAATGAATATAATGCTTTACGCATTCGTAGGTGCCCACACATTTGTGAATCCGCACATGAGACACTGCTTCATCTCCCAGTTCCTGTTTGAACCACTTCGATGTCTCACAGAGGAGCTTCCGCTTGACGAAATGGTGGGCTGTGGTGGCGTCGTAGCTGACTGTGACTTTGACAAGCTCTTCCGTTGCGCTGATAATGCTGTTAGTGAAGTCATCTCTTGTTCGTTTTGTCAGCACTCACTCTTCCAAACTGGAGTATGGTCGTCGTATGCTTGATACGTTCGCCATTTCCAATCGTCAATCAGTAGTATGGCCTCCGTATTTGTGAATGGCTGGTAAATACACAGGTTTCCGGAGTTGATGTAATTGTCGTGGATGTGTGAAGCTCTGAGCTTGGTCTATAGCCAACAATGAAGTGAAGTTTCTCACATCGACTTGGACCGTGCATCTGGTGGACTTATCCTCACTTTCTTCGCGATCGTCTTCCTCACACAACATCACTTGTCCACTCTTCCAACCTCCTCAACTCCAACACCGACACAAACACCAACATCACCAGCACCAGCGACACAATGACGACTCCAGAAACATCTTCGCCAGCGCGCGACACCATCGCAGAGATGCAACAAGCATTGTGCGATCAAGGAAAGGAGATAACGCTCCACGGAGATCTTTGCAAAGAAGTCGAAGAGATCAAAAAGGACTTCCCGGGCGAGGACAGCGATGTGCTCAAGATGATTTACGAGGAAGAAGCCTTCGAGGAGATCGGCATGAAACGTCTCGCGACCTGGCTTGTGAATATGAAGAACCATGTCCTCGCACTGGTGAGAATTCTCAGACCGGAAATGTAGGAGATTCTGCGGACTGATCATGATTGTGCTTTAGAAATTCCACGAGCTTCGCGTCCTCACCGGCCTCCGCGTTAACAGTCAAGGCAATGTGCTGTCCTACGAGGGCAAACCTATCGGCAGGCTTTGCTGTGGCGATCGAGACCTGGCGGTCGGCGCTACGGTTGGGGAGAGGGGTGAGGTCTTTGATAAGCAAGGAGAGTACTTGGGTCATGTCGTCCTGCTCGAAAGCAAGGCTGCTCAGCGAGCTTACGAGGACATGATGGAAGAGTGAGGAGCTGGCACAGCAATGCAGAAAGCCCGGGCTGTCGACTTCGGAATGATAGGTCTGCTCGCACATCAGTCATATACGTGAGGAAGTGAGAATGCATATACGCAAGGGAAGCAGAGAGAAGATACTAAGCGTGAACATGGTCCTGGAGACCTCTTCCTTGGGCAAGCATCTAGTACAGCTTTTGCGCCGCAGGCTATGCACAAGATGTACACGTCACTGCTCTTTCAAATTATTTTTCATGAATTCCATTATCTTCCACGCATTGGCATGCCACGGCCTCTGCCTCGCATCGCTCGCTGTGCTGCTCCGGGCGGCAGGCCTCTCGCTGGCGCTTGGGGCTGCTGTGATTCCTGGTTTTTGATCGTCTCGTCTACACTCAGAATCAAGCAGCTAGCTTCGATGGCAGCTTGAATGGCGTTGATCTTAACAAGTGCTGGTTCCCACACGAAAGCCTCCAGGTTGTCCCGAATGCCCTCATGATCGAAGTCGACACCTGCCCAAGTGTTGCCTTTCCGGTGCTCTACCCGCAGTCTGTTGAGGATATCCGTAGCGTCGAATCCAGCGTTATCGCATAGTTGTCTCGGGATGACCTCCAATGCCTTAGCAAACGACTTGATGATACTCTGCTGCTTGTGCGGCACATTCTTATCCGCGAAGCCGTGCAGGTATGCTGAGACCTCCATCTCACATGCGCCACCACCGGCCACGATCGTCTGATTCTTGATTGCACGCTTCACAATCATAATTGCATCGTGAAGACTTCGCTCGACTTCCGCGATGAACTGCTCAGCACCGCCACGAAGCACAAGTGTGCAAGTCTTGGCACCTGGACAGCCTTCGAAGAAGTTGAACCGCTCACTTCCTGTTTGACGCTCCTCGAAGATCTCGCAGGTACCAAGGTGATGTGGCTGGAGGTCGGAGCAGGTGGATTGAACGCTGGCGCCTGTCGCTTGGCACACGCGCTCGAGGTCGTCTGATGAAACGCGACCAGCGCAGAAAACGTCTCGGTCGGCAAAGTACTGTGTTGCAAGATCGCCAATTGGAAGTTTCGAGAGAACCACCTTTGCGCCAGTCTTGTAAAGCGCCTCCATCTTATCGTAGATGATCTTCCATTCCGCATCCACGATGGCCTGATATTCCGATACCTGCTCCACACGCACTTCTGCATTGTCCTTCTCGCTCTTCAATTCCAGCTCGACGTTCAAGCACACGATCTTTGGGTTCTTGAAAGATTTCGGTTGTTGCTCGAATCCGGCATATGAGAAGGTCTTCTTGAAAGCAACGCCGTTTACGAACAGCGAATCTTGCAGTGCACCACCGGTAATCTTCTTGATGCCAATGAGCTTCTCGTTCAGGTCGTCCTGGTCAAGAGAGAGAACGGCATCAACGACCATCTTGGTGAAGAAGTCAGAATTGCGGTGGATGAGCTTGCTGCTCATTGCCGTTGCAGCCAGTTTTCTGAGTGTTTCCCGCTGGTTGCCCTCGCTCGTGCTGACTGCAATTTCCTTGATCTTGTTCACAGCCATTGTGCCGGCTCTCCGTAAGCCCTTGATGATGACCTGGCTACTCACACCCTGCTCCACGTGCTCCTTGATCTCCTTCAGAAGTTCTCCTGCCAGAACCACGACTGAGGTGGTTCCGTCTCCGACTTCTGCATCTTGTGATCGCGCAATATCTGTGAGGATTCGGGCTGCTGGATGCACGATATCGAGAAGCTTCATGACCGTTGCGCCATCGTTCGTGATTGTCTGCTTGCCATTCTCGTCGACTAACAAGAGGTCACCACCGTAGGGACCTAATGTGCTCTTAATGGTTGACTGAACTGCCAAGCAGGCGTTGATATTTGAGATGATCTGTCCGCGACCCTGTGACTGGTCCGTTCCTTTGCATAATCAGCCTGTGCCTTCTGAATGTGGTGTGCCCATTTCTGCCTACCCTCTTTCAGGACGATGATTGTTGGCGTCTGCCCGCCGAACGACATGGCGAAAGTCCTTCACTTGGTTCTTCTCAATCCGGCTAGTATTTACTTGAGCTCCAGGCAGTGCGCTTGAGTACAGATTGGTGAGTGAAGTGCTGCAAATGCGGTCGTCTAATGTGTTTCGCAGAGCTTCGGCGCGTGTCTCGATTTCTGGAAAAGTCGTGTCGCGAAAAGGAGGAAGGTCGGCCGAGAAGTGCTGCCTCAGGCTCTCTCGGTCTCGGATTTGCCTTGACATCGCCTCCCCTTGCATCCACGAACTCATACTGCTTTTCGTCGTGAAGTACAACTATGTCAGCTTCATTGGCGCCCGAATGCAATGAGGTGAAAGAGTGAGCCTTATCACTCAGTGGCACGCAATCCAAGTCTCCCGATGCTGATACTCCCTGTATAGGCGATACGATACATGCTTCCTCAAATGGTACTCAGAAAGTACGCCATCATTTCATGCCAAGATGACTGAGTCTCATCTATGGTTTCTGACAGTGCTGCAGAGTTTCTGCGAGGTACAGCAAAGAATGATGAATGTGAACCTTTGTTTAAGCAGTACAAAGAGTGTCTTGGCGTAAGTCCAATCCTCAGTGACCACCTCCCTGCGCACTATGTCTCCAGCATGCTGATCGTCCTTCTACAGAAAGCCCTGAAAGAGCGAGGAATAGATCAGATGCTTGAAGAAGCAAGAGCAGACAACAAGGAGAACGACGCAGAGCACATGAAGCCTTCTCCGCGAGGCAGCTGAGTTGTAAAGAACAGCGTATGATTTTGCTTGCTCCGTTTGCTGACTTGATGCAGTGAGCAACTTTTGCATGGCATCGGCGCTCTGGTAGAGATGTCCCACCTCTGATTTCGAGACACCAAATGTTTGCTTCTCACGATGGTGCAAGTCATCAATTCAAGTTCTCCCTCTGCCTTCCCGGCATTCCGCCAACAGCTGCACAAGCCACAATCATGCCTCTGGCCTTTCTTTGACCAAATTTCCTGGCTTCACCTATATGTCTACATCGAATCACAATATATCGAAATCCGTGGTGGCGTTGTCGCACCTGGGAGAGGACAGTCGTCATAGCAATTCAACTGACTAATTGATCTTGAAGGCACAGCAAGATGGAATATGGCTGAAAGCATAGGAGCAGAGCCTGTCTACACATGTGTTTTCATAGCCGGTCCTGGTTCACGAGTTTCGTACGGGGCTTGAGCGGTGGCAACTTCAACTCCTCGCCAGATTCACTAGTGGGAATTGGGGCGGGGACAAGACGCATTCATTCTTGCTGCCTCGCCATCGGCCGTCCCTAATAATCGAACTTTTGAGGCATTGCGCCAGATGTACGGCCAGCAGCAGCCACCATCTACACAAGCTCAGATGCCTGTCATGCCCGCTGCCATGCCGGGCGAACAGGCAGAACGTCAGTCTATCTCGCAGCCGACGCAACTTCCTCTTACTGTTGACCTCTGCGCACTGGTATGAACGCCTCCGACTCTCCCAAAACCTAACCCAGATACGCTTCTGCACACTTCGAGAGAACGCGGCGCGGAACCGATCTCAATACATCCAAGAAAAACATATCCTTTCCCTCCTTGCTGTTATTCGACAAATCCCCTTCTGCACACCAAAAGAACAAAATGGTCAGCACTTACGCCAACGTCTGCCGCGAGGCCACTCGCAGCAAGCCTATCAGAAGAAGTAGGCGTGCTTCGATAGAATGTCACCGAGTTGCTGCTAATATACTGTAGCTTACACAGTTCGAGGCCACCCGGTCACATTCGAGCACTACGCCTCTCTTGTAAGGCAGAAGACCGACGCCGACGCTGCGGAGGAACTTCGCCAAGCCCAAGCTCTCGCTGCAAAGAAGAAGAAAGAAGAGGCCATCGAGGCAGCCCGTACCGCGTAGGAGCTCGAGAAGCAGAAAGCAGCCGAAATTGCAGCGTTCCTGCTTGAGGAGGAGGAGAAGGCGGCTAAAGCCCGCCTCGCCGTAATCGTGCCTTTCCGCCGCTTCTTCGAATTTCCCTACGAGATTCACCAGAACGTTGCTGTTCCCGAAGTTCACGGTCGCTGTCTTCTTGCCTGGCGGACTGCGCGGACGGCACACCTGAGGAGTGTCATGCAGTCTCGCCCATCCGCATGTAGCTACTACACCCTAACATGCGAGTATGAGTACGTCAGACAGATCACTAATATTGAGAGTGTTAAACGTTGGCGAAGATGGCGATGTCTTCGATACAACAAGCTGAAGCTTTCATGACTCACAGTGTAGCAATTCTCTCTCGTCGACCTTCTTGAGAACCTTCATTCAGGCGGGGTTGCAACAAGCTTGAGGTCCTCACTTGCACATTTCACAAAGTCTTCACTTCGTCGGGCCGCGACATTCAGATTAGCATACACTCTCTGAGCCTTTATTACTGATCAAGAAGGGCAATCCTCTTCGGCACTAATGATAACCAGACACATCAACACGACAGCCACAACACTACGAACCAGACACAGCAAAATGGGCCGCGGCCGCCGAGGGAATAATGCCCGAAATGCTCTCTGCCATCAGCAAGACCTGGTACAGAGACTGTCGGCATTAATGGTTCAAGTTGAGCACATTGCACCGGGCTTGACAGATGAAGTACGGCTTGCGCAGGCTGATGCCCGCGTCATCTCCAAGTACTTCAGCGAGACCATGCCCACCAAGCTGTACAACGAGCGACGACCACCACATGCAACGGATGTCGCAGCTCGAGCTTTCGCAATCCCTGAGATTCTGGAGATGATCTTGTCCGAGCTCAACCGCAGTGAGCTGCTCAGATCACAATTAGTCACCCAGCAATTCAGAGATACTATCAACCTGTCGCCTACTTTGGGACCTGTTCTCAAGCCTCCGAAGATCAAGGTCAAGAAGAAGAATGCACCACGAATTAACATCGAAGGACACATTGATGGTGTCAAGTGGCGACGTCGATGCCGCCTCTGCAGACCGCTGAGACATGAGCGCCACTCTCGCTGTCATCCACACTGCGCCAAAGAAGTCTGGGCCCAATTCCAAGATTGCGACAAGCTGGTACCGATGCGCTGCAGAAGCCTTCAGATTTGTGAACCTCCCCATCTATGAGATGAAAGTCGCCTTGAGTTGCTGTTCAAGAGGAGAAGATCACAACGGCTACTACGACTGGGAACCACCCTCAGATAACATCTCGAATCCAGATGGCATCACACTTGGGGATCTGCTCGACAAAGCAAAGAAACGAGCACGCCTTCTGCGGTTCATGGGGCTACGATGAGGAGGAATTTCCCGAGGACTATACTTCAGGCGAGACAACGGTGACCTTCGCGGGAGATCATGGGTCCATCTGCAAGATTTGCAGCAGGGAGTTCAAGTGAGTGACCTTTCTTCCTCACCTACTGAAATGCAGGACTAACAGGGAACAGTGCTACCTGTGATGGAAATTATTACCAGCCCGGGTACCTTGAAGGCGGCAATTGGGAACCACAGTCCGATGACGACGACCAAAACACGGACGAAGAAGATGAAGAGTACAATGCTCGACTCCTGACGGACAAGAAAGGGAAGCGATGAAAAAGGCCGTGGCATGACACACGGTGCATTACATTACACATTGCTCATAGCGAGCACATCTACCATCCATCTCTGCTCCTCATGACACAGTAACAATACTACTGTACTGGCAAATAAATCCTCAACTACTGTAGAACTAGTACTTCACATCACCCTCCCAAATCGGCGCCTCCCTCGGATTTTCAGTCCACTCCAATTTTCCCTGAGGAGTAATCCACGCTCCCTCATCCGTCATCTCCAACCCCTCCCCAACCTCCTCCCTACTCTCCAAGATCTCTCGTTTCGACAATCCACCCTCGTCCCTCGCAATCCACACCACAGGACACTCCCTGAAAATCGCAGGATGTATGTATGCCTCAGCATGCTCTTTCTCCGTATACTCGCGCCGTGATGAAACCTCCAAATTCGAAGAAATCATTCGAGCCGCGTGCGCCGCAGAAGTTTCGGGGAAGAGGAAAGCTTTAAAGCGGTCTGCGAAGCTTCGTTGCGGTGTTGGTTCGCGAGAAGGAGAAGGTGTATGATTGCCACCCTTCCCATCCGCATGCCCTTGTATCGATCCACGAAAAGCCTCTCCTCCCCCCTCGTGACTAGGAAAATCTCCTTCCATCTTCCTCACCACCCCCCATAACCACAACTGCCACCCCACCGTCCCAAACAAAAACACAACCATCAGAACCAAAGCCCCAATCGCTTCCTTCGACTCCGCCACCCCGATAGCAAACAACCCAATCAAACAAATCTCACAGAGATAAATCCCCGTAATCAACTGTCGCAAAGCTCTCGCATAACTTTCTCCTCGCGTCGACACATTCGTCCCAAGCGTAAACAGGGCATGATATCGAAACGCCAAATAAAGCAGAAAGAAGCCCATCGCCGCGAAACCTAAAACCAACGGAGCGATGCAAGAATACGAGAGCGCGATGACTCCCAAATTCGTGAATTTCGGATACAGAGATCCCCAGCCCAAGCCCGCGAGGGTGATGTACCGTCTCACCAACTTCCTCGGCGTCGTGTCCATCAACTTCCCCAGAACCAGAAATCCGAGCAACGGCATGACGTTCAACATTTCCAGTGCTGCACTCAAAAGGCCGAAGAGGATGAAATAGGATATGTAAAAATTCGAAGCTTTGGGGAGGTTTTGGGCCAGGAGTGTGGGTGCGGAAGGAGGGGTTTGGATTATCTGGGCTGTTACGGAGGCGGCGCCGGAGGAGAAGGTTGTGATGAGGAAGACTTGGATGACTTGGAAGGGGAAGTACCAGGTTTGGACTTTTAGTTGGATGGCGCGGTGCGTGGGTTCGATGAGTTTTGCGAGGGTGTTGCAGAGGATTGGGACGAGGGTCATTAGGATTGAGAGGAGGCTGGGGTGGGATTAGTGGAGGAGATGGTGGTGGTGGTGGTGGTGGTGGTGGTGGTGTGGGAGGTGAGGTGGCTTACAGGACTGGGAGAAGGCCGGTTACGAGACCTAAGATTACTTTTGGAATTTTGTCGATGAAGCTTAAGAATGGGACTTCGCTGGTGAGATACTATGCTTTTGCGTCAGTCTGTTGTTTCTTGATGTGCTGAAGGAGAACTCACATCGATGTTGGTGATGGCTCCAATGACGGCCACGGGAATCGTCCAGAATATGCACAGAAAGTAGACGAATGCTGTACATGCAGCATTAAGTAGCTGCACTTTCCAAAATGGCTTGATGATGTTGGGCCAGATCTATGTTATCCAGTTAACGATCTGCCACCTCTTTTCATCTAGCTCAAATGTTAGGACTTACCACGTTCTCAGGTGCGGGCCCGATCTCTTTAGGAGTTATCTTTGCCTTATTTTTGATGCCACGTTTCTGCACTGCGATGTGCGCAGCTCTCACAGTTTCGAACTCGACAAAACAGGCGCCTTGGACGCTTGATCTATCATCCCGCAGCTTGTTCTGCTCATTCCTGATTTCTGGTAACAGTCGGCTCAACTCTGCTCGTGCCCAGTCGACAGTGTCGACTTTCTTTCCGATAGGCAGGAATTGGAGCTTCGGGAGACGGTGGGATGGGCGATCCTTCTTCTTCACGACAATGGGTTCGTTTCGTTCAACGTCATTCGGTTCTTGTCTCTTGCCCTTCTTCTTTTCCTTTGCCATCCGCTTGACATGATTCCGAATCAGCTTCACCTCTCCAGCTTCCAGCTTCTGTGCAGCAGTATCACGATCCTTGACCTTTTCAGCCAAGTCCTCTGGCACATTCACGAGCCAGACCTTTCGAACCCCAGAGAATTCTTTCCGGATGGCATCCTCATTTCGCATCGCCTCAGGAACATTGACGAACAGAATTGATCTTGTGGAGATGCACGCGCTCTCATAAGGCGATGAGTAGTAGTGCTGGCGGAGGCGAACGAAAAATTTGGATTCCCTCGTGATGACAAACATGACCCAAGCTAGAAAAATCCACGCAACGAAGACCTGCGCGTAGTACCTTGGCCCGGGAGTGATGTTGCTGAAGGATAGAATATCGAGGCCGCTCACGTCGGACGCATTGCCTGTGGCATTGACCGGGAATAGAATCGGCCAGGTGATGAGGCATCCAACAACGCACATGGCTGCCAGCATGCGGAAGAAACGTAGCCACAAATAGTTGTCAAGAGAGGCATGTCCCATGACGAATTCATCCTTGAGTGCCATATACTGTCGCCGCCAGCCAAACGCACCCTTGTTCTGCTTTGGACTTAGTTCCCATTGTCGCAGAGATGCGAGATATGTTCTAGGCGCGTAGACTCGCTGATATCGTTTGCGAAGCACGAGAAAGATCAGGAACACAATCGCGGCAACGACAAACACCGGCACCAAGGTTGAGACCAGAGAAGATATGGAGGAGCCCTGATCGCGGTGGCTACCGGTGTTTCCGCCACTCTATGTCAAGCAAGCATTAGCCATATCCTATCCTTCATGCCTCGACAAGCTCCGATTCCAAGTACACCACTCACCTGAGACGCAGCTGCTTGTCGTGCAAACACTCGTGTTGCCTGGTCGAATTCTGTAAAAGTGTGCATGATTTAAACATGTGTGGCAGACAGCTCGTGGCCTGTCTGGGAAGGGAGGACGACTTGCGACAATAACGAAGAAGTCTTTCGCTGAAAGCTTACCTGCGATATCACGTCGAAATGACTAGCACTCTGCACATTGCACAGCCACTCAACAGAAGCTTAGCTTTTGGCAATGACGAAATGGGTACTGTCAACTTGCTGAATGCAAAGCTAACATCCTCCATCGGGAGTGACATGCTGTGAGGGTTGGCGCTCCGTGGAAGGAATAACATCCGCTCGTAGCGGCCACGAGCGTGCCACAGATGCTTTTTGACAGGCGCGAAAGTCGGCTCTCTCCACAGACTCAGTCTTGCAATGATTGAAAGATAATAGCTGTATTGTGCTGGTGAGAGGGCCTTCGTTGGATAAAGTGATGGGTGTGATCTGTCGAAACATCAGCCCTGTGAGCATCTAGATTCGGCGGCTCCATGGTCTGCAGGATCCGTGAGGAGTTGTGTCGCTTCCAAGTTTTCGTCAAGGTTAGACTTCGCTGTAGAGAAGCCAATGATCTCAATATGCAGGTGAGCGGAAAGAAACCGACGGAGCCACATCCGACCACATACTCCGGTTTTGGTGGCCAACCAAGAACTCTGCGTTGTCGAAGAAGAAGATGAAGCTAAAGATCATAAAGAATTGTTGTATTGTGTTGTAACTGTCCCAGGACTTTCCTACACACTCCGAAACTGCCCAAATATAGCGATGCTGTATATGAAATCGTTTAGTAGACAATCGTGTGAGCCTCGCCCTGCTGATACATGAGAGCATCAGCCGCCCTACTATCTTGCTCCACGCCAAGGACATCTGGCGCTTGCACAATTGTCATTGTGGTTGATTGTCCAAAGGAATGCAATCCGGGAAAGTGCCCCAATCAACAGCGTCTGGTGGTAGTACATCATTGGTGTCGGGTACTTGACTATAGAGATCGTCGCAGAGGTGGCCATTGTTGACGTCGTCGGTGACAGTCATCTCCTGGACGGGACTTGGCCGTGCAGTTGCGAGGATGCTTGCCACGCGAGGGTTTGTGGATGAGTGAGGAGCATGTGGTAATCGAGCTGTAGCGAGCAATCCAAGATATGTTGGGTCTCCGCTTGTGAGTTCGCTGTAGCCTGAATTTGGGAAGTTACGGGCTGTCGAGACTGGTTTCTTTTGCTGCTTTCCAGATTTGGGATGGTACTCGTCCATTGCCGGGAGAGGAAGGGCGCGGTCAAGAGGATCGACGGTGTCTGCGGGAGAGGCGTCACTTGCGGAGTCTTTTCCGGAACTGGCACTTGTGTAAGTTGAGTTGTAAGAATTGTGCCGTTGCGACATCAGCGGAGGAGGTTGCGCAAGAGGTTCGATTACTCGACCTGGAGATTGACACTGGCTCGTTGGAGTTTTCCCTCGGCAACTGCTACCACCACAGGGATGCCTCCTCCCGATAGACCATTGCAGGTTCGACACTGCTAAAGGATTGGGAACCTCCGGTTTGGCAATGCCATGTTCTTGCAATAGTTGCCGAAGATGTTTGTTCTCCTCGAGAACTGCACGTGCTAGACTCTGCACTTCTGCAGAAGCCTCCATCCCAACTTCCTCGCATTGCTTCCATTTGCTCTCCAGACTTTCTAGATATTCCTTCTTGCGTGCTCTACTTTTCCTCTGGTTATTTCGAATACGAGTAAGACCATCCAAGCGCTGCAAATGGTTAGCAGTATTCTGCCACTCGCGCCGCAGAATATACCTCTTGGCTGCGCTTTACGTCTGCCATGAGTGTGTGTTCTCGATGGCCGAGGGTCTTGTCACAGGAAACAAGCCAATGTAAGCCAATGTCACGAGTGAAAGGAAAGGGGAAGAGATGACGACCTGGGGTAGGCTGGAGTTCAAGAGGATCCAAGCATAGCCGAGAGTTCTGGCCCCGAAAAGCTTGTCTCTTCATCCACGTGCTTGAACCTGCGCAGCAGACCTTTTGGAATCAATAATAGACCGAAGTTTGACCAATTGTGATTCTCCCAATGATTAGTAATTGGTTGAGTGTGAGACGAGTGCTTCGATTTGGAATCGCCACCTGCAAAAATGCATCATGTTCGGGTATTGCCAAGACATCGGCAGCTCGGGGACTCAGAAATCCTGACCACCGAAATCACCGACCTGACCACCGAATTGACCAATCGGATAGAGCCGTAGTAGTCCGTACGGTGGACCGTGCGTAGCCTCGGCTTAAGTTAGCCCCACTTGCCGAAAGTTAATCGGAATCGACTAGGAATCGAATAGGAATCGAATAGGAATCGAATAGGAATCGAATAGGAATCGAAAAGGAATCGAAAAGGAATAGGAAAGGAATAGGAAAGGAATAGGAAAGGAATAGGAAAGGAATAGGAAAGGAATAGGAAAGGAATAAAAGATAAAGTAGATTTCTATAGCTTTAGATAACTTTAATAACTAAAAAACTTATAAATCTAAAACTAGATACGCCTAGTAAGTATAAAAGTAGAAGTATATATAAGTTAAGGCCTAGCGCTATGATTTTATAAGCTATAACTAAGTAAATAAATTACTTTAATAAGACTCTTAAAGAATTCTAGTACAATTTAATTAGAAATTATATAGAAACTAAATAGGTCTAGAAGGCAAATATAGTCCTAGCTTTACTTCTAACTAGATACTACTAGAGTAGTTCTAGGTAGAACTAAGTAGTAGATCTAATTCTAGGTATAATAATATCTAGTAGTGTTTTTATATAGGTATATATCTAGTATATAGGGCTATATTATTAGTAATCTATATTCGTTTATTATAGGAGTATATTTTAGTACTATCTATATCCTACTTATATTCTAATTAAACTCGCTACTAGAATTAGTGCTATTATTAAAGTAGATTTTTCTTCTAATTAAACTAAGTCTTATTATTTTAATATAATAATATTTTCTATATAGGTAAGCTATTTAGTTATTTCATTTAGTACTTAGCTAAGTTTTTCTAAAATTCTATATAAATCCTTTCTAAATTCTTTCTATTCTGTTTTCTTTATATTCTATTCGTATTAGCTACTATAATTATTTTTTATTATCTAAATAGTTAATAGTCTCTAAGTCTAGTTAGAGAAAGTCTTAGTAATTAAGTAATATAATTTTTAAATATAGCTAATCTACTAGCTAATTAGTTATTTTAGTATTTAGCTAAACTATTTCTAAAATTCTATCCGAATCCTATCTAAATCCTATCCGAATCCTATCCGATTCCTATCCGAATCCTATCCGATTCCTATCCGATTCCTATCCGATTCCTATCCGATTCCTATCCGATTCCTATCTAATTCCTTTCTAAAATCTTTCTAAGTCCTTTCTATATTCTATTTTAATCCTAGTTAAATTCTTTTCGAGTCCTATTAAATTAAATCCTATTCGAATCTAATTCGAATCCTATTTATTTAGATTTCATTTAGATTTAATTTAGATTTAATTAAGTTCTATTTGAATTTTATTTAATTTCTATCTAAATCTACCCCTAAAACTCTTAAACTCCTTTATATTTTTAAAATTATATTCTATTTACTTTCTATTCTATTTATATTCTATTTGTATTCTTAATATTTTCTATTTATATTAGCTACTATAATTATTCTTTATTATTTTAATAGTATTTTATAGTCTCTAAGTCTAATTAGAGAGAATCTTAGTAATTGGCTAATATAATTTTAAAATATAGCTAATTTAGTAGTTAGCTAAACTATAATTTAACTATTTCTTAGATTCTGTTTAAATTCTATCTAGTTCCTATCCGATTCCTATCCGATTCCTATCCGATTCCTATCCGATTCCTATTTTATTCCTATCCGCTTTCTATCTAATTATTATCTAATTCCTTTCCAAATTGTTTTTTAAGAGTACTATATTAATTCTATTTAAATTGTATTTAATTCCTATTTAATTCTTATCTAAATCCTTTCCGAATCCTTTCTAAATCCTTTCCGAATCCTTCCCGAATCCTTTCCGAATCCTTTCCGAATCCTTTCCGAATCCTTTCTAAATCCTTTTAAAAAATCTTTACCCTATAGTAATTATTATAGAGGTAAAAAAATAAAAGATTATTTATTTCTTATTGAAATTTCATTTAAATTCTATTAAAAATATAATAAACTTACTCAATGGTTTCGCATTCCAATTAGCTTAACCTCGGCTAACCCCCTGTCATTTTAGAGTTCCTGACCACCGCGGTGGTCAGCTCGGCGATTTTGGTGGTCAGACCGGCGCTGCGCTCTCGGCAGCTCGAGCCGTCAGAGTTGGGACTATCGTCCAGGAATGCACTATAGGACCGTCCTATACCGATATCTGTTCATTTCTGCAGCCAATGCTGTATGCCAAGAACAATCATCGCTAGATTGACCGGACCGAGAACTGCCGCACTGCTGTTTGGTCGTCGAGAATGTCATGCACCGTACTATGGGCTTTCGCAGGGCTTGGCGGCATATCCGATAGGCAACAGAGAATGTGCGCCAGTAGATCTCTCCTTTTGACCGTTCGGGGCCATGTCTCCTGTAGGCTGCTAGTATTCAGTAGTTACAGTAGTACCTGCCCATATTGGAAGTAGTGCCACTCCAAGGCATGCACTCTACGCTGTCTCGACCTGGCAGATCGTTCCTTGTGTCCTTGGACCATCCCCGAGCCAAAATCTGTTCTCCATGATACTATCGTAGCTCTCGGGGCGTGTATGTGTCTCTACAGCCCGAATTGGGCTTCTCAACATTGCGTTGAATCCTCCTGAAGTCACCGTATCACCACTTGAAGGGCTTCCACCGGGTGGTATGTAGCTTGTGCTCCTCTTCAAGACATTTGCGAACTCGCAACTGGAGAGCAATGATGGCGGGCGGGCGGACGGTTGGTCTTCGCGTTCCAGGGGGAGTTGCTACCATCGAGAAGCGCCGGCCATGGTCCACAGCTGTCCTGCGAATGAGATGCCGGGGTAGAAATACGATCTTCTATAGAAACGCGAGTGAAGATGTGTATGTCGAGGAGGTGAGGTCGAGAGGCAGGGGCCTGAAAACAAATAAATGCCTCACCTCAGCCTGTTATGGTGCTATCCGCGGCTTGGTGGAGTCAAGTGAGCGGCGTTTGCCTCCAATTTAGCTGCGGATATGGTGGTGGTGGTGTGATTGTGTGTGGAACAGTCAGTAGTCAGCAAGGTGGAGAGCTTGCCTGCCTTGCACGACATCACACTCGAACGCGGTCTCATTGACAATACCAAGCTGACCATGTAGCACGCCTTCACCTATGCCTGACCACAGGCACAAATACCCTAACACATCATGAGGTATACGAATGTGTTTGCGACGGCATTACTGTTGCTGCCGAACCTCATTTCAGCCCAGCAGACAGACCAGATTGTCCTGCAAGGCAGCAATGCGAACCATGGCGGTGCTGCGGATGTCAAACCCATCAACATCGCCATTATAGGTATCACCTACTCGTAGATGCTGTAGAAGTCCATAAGCTGACCGATGTTTCTAGGCGCCGGCGCCGCGGGCTCATCAGCAGCCTACCACCTCCACCAATATGGCATCACCTCTCGAGTGCCCCTCAACCTCACTGTCTTCGAGCGCAATGATTACATTGGCGGTCGCTCAACCACCGTCGGTGCATACGATGACCCTGCATTGCCTGTCGAGCTTGGCGCCAGTATATTCGTCGAAATCAACCATATTCTTGCCGATGCTATTACCAAATTCAATCTGAGCACTACGGACTTCAATGACAATCCGAAAGGTACTCCAGGGAACGAGCTCGGTATCTGGGACGGAGAGCGATTCGTTCTCGAAATCAATGGAGGCTGGTGGGATACAGCTAAGCTCATATGGAAATATGGAATGGCTCCGATCAAGACGCAGAGGTTGATGAAGAGCGTGGTTGGGAAGTTCTTGAGAATGTATAACGCGCAGGAAGATGTCGAAGAGCCAGGTGTGTTTCCATTCAAGAGCTTGACTCAAGCGGCGCAGGATGTAGGATTGCTGGCTGTCACCGCGGCTACCGGCGAGCAGTTCATCCGTGAGAATGGTATTACAGGAAACTTTGGGAAGCATGTAGTGCAAGCGAGCACAAGAGTCAACTATGCACAGAACCTGAAATACATTCACGGGCTGGAGGCAATGGTCTGCATGGCTACAGAGGGCGCTGTGGCTGTGGAGGGTGGAAATTGGAGGATCTTTGACAAAATGCTTCACGCGAGTGGTGCTGCTGTCCATTTGGAGACGGGCGTGAAAGAGGTACAAAAGACCGAAGAAGGCGGATACACGCTGTCGCTTGAAAGCGTGGAGGATAGCATGACCATCGAAGAGGACTTCGACATTGTCATTCTCGCCGGGCCATATCAATACTCCAACATGACCCTGCCAGCCTCTGCCGACATTCCAGACACGATCCCATACGTCTCCCTCCATGTCACCCTATTTGCCTCCCCACACCTCCTCTCGCCGACCTTCTTCAATCTTGCGTCGGACCAGAATCCACCCCAAGTGATTCTTACGACACTCGCCGACTCCGAAACACCTGGCAAAGGCAACATGACGGTCGGAAGTCCTGGCTTCCTCTCCATCTCCCTCCTCCGCCCGATCATTAGCCCCAATACCGGAGTCGATGAATACCTATACAAGATCTTCTCATCCGAGCCAGTGTCTGCACCATGGCTTGCAAAGCTTCTTGGCGTCGACCACCTTCCCGACAACCAAGGTGATGAGATCAGCAAGAGGGATGTGACGTGGATGTACAGGAAGGTGTGGAACTCTTATCCCTACGAGTATCCTAGAGTCACATTTGAGGAGCTGAAATTGGACGATGGAATCTGGTATACCGGTGGGATGGATAGCTTCATCAGTACGATGGAGACGAATGCACTGATGGGTAAGAATGTGGCAAGGTTGATTGTGGATGAGCTCGTGGAGAAGATGGGAAGAGTGAAGGATGAGGGCGATGGAGAGTGGGTGTTGCTGGATGAGAATGATCGGTATGCTGTGAGGAGGGAGGATCTGTGAACTGCGAAACAGCCGTGCATGTCAAAGCGGATGGACATCGGAAGGTGCAACGCTGCACGGCTTTCGCGCTAACATTCAGGCTTGAATCTCACTGCATACTCCTCCGCCTGCAAACCCACCACCTCCTACGATTGTCATCGGCATTGCAAGCACTCTCGCTACGATTTCGACTGCTAATTGCTCGGCTAGCGACGAGAAGCTGATTGAGTAAGTCAGAAAAAGGGGAAACACTGCGCGTCTTGAGACTGATTACAAAGGCTTTTCCACCGACGATACTATCAGCGTCCTTTTCCATGATATGGATCGTGCCTTTGAGCAAGCGAAGTTGTTCATCCAGCGGGAGCATCTAGAGAAATCGCAATGCTTCATCCCACAACTCGCCGCCATGTCTCCAGCCAACCATGTCATCAAACTTGCGCGGGCGATGAGCTCGAAGGTGCTCCAGCATTACTTCCACTTCCTTGTCACCGGTCGTACAGTCAATGGCAACGGCCGCACGTTGTCGCTCGCTTATCTTTTCGGCGACGAAATCAAAGATGCAGACTTCACGGCTGTTATGGCTTGCGCGCTCCAGGCCCAGCTCAAATCGGAAAAGGTAGCCATCCACAGCCCGGCAGTGACGGCAATCTACTCCGCACGTGAGAAGGGAAGCGCGGCACGCAGGATGGTCGTCGACTTCTTCTACTGTCACGGACGGCCGCATTGGTTCAATGAACGAGAATGGAAGGGATATCCAAAGGAGTTCTTGCAAGATCTTGTGGTCAAGATGATGGCGAAGAATGAGAGCGAGGAAGAATACGGGCGTCAGCGGGAGGAAGGGCAGAAGGAATGGGGGCCGGGCAAAAAGCGCAAGGCAGACATGCTGGACACAAATGATCTGCGAAGCCGCTGAGACGTGTATGGTGAGGACACGCTCAGTCTGCGTTCTACGATGGTTGTAAGACTCTGTGATGGGATTAGAGTATGCTGGTGACCTGGCACTGGCTCTGGTGACTGACGAGCTGCCCCATGAAGCCGCCCACTTCGCGATAATAAAGCATAAGAAACAACGGATAGTAAGTCAGTGCATGTGACAAGAGATTTCCACGAGCCTCACTTTGGACTTTCCTCACTTCTTCCATTGCTACTTTGAAGCTTGAACTTCTCACAACGCCGTCGCAAGAACATCAACAGCTCAACACCAAGTACCGCCATCGCCACTACCATCATGGCTGACGACAGCGACTACAAGCTTAACAGCGAAGCCGAGCTTGACAGCGAAGATGAGTTCGACAGCGACGACGAACTTGACAGTGAGTTGACTGAGTATGTATCTCCCTCCAAGCTGTAAGAATTTGGCATTGACAATGATAGTTCCGACGATGGCAGTGTCATCACGATACACGTCGAGCACACTGAAGATGACGGGGTATCATCTCACAAGATCCAACACAAGTACCTCGAGAAGTCGCATTACTTCCGTGATCGCCTCGCGCGCGCCTCTACCTACACTTCCATCAATCTATCGGGCGCAGTCCATACCGTCAGCTTACCGGAATATCTGCACTTTCTGAAGACGGACGAACTGCCAGAAGTCTGGCCCGAGGAAATCGCCATGCATTACCTGTACGGGGAGAGAGTCGGAGACGTCCGTTTCAAGAACCTCGTTGTAGCGAGAATGGCACAACTTCTCGAGGGTTTGGTGCCTACGAAGTGTGCCCGCAAGATCTATCGGCATACAAGCGAGGGATCTTTGGCGAGACGCTTGCTCGTGGACCATGTCGTCTACCGAGGTCGAGCATCGTGGTTAGAGGATTTTGACTGTCCTGATGAGCTGGTCAAGGACGTTGCGATTGAAGCTATGAAGGCTAGAGATATCCATTCGATGAAGGAGTTTCGGGTGGAGAATTATCTCGAGCCGGAGAGTCGCGCGATGGCGGTGCGGGAGTGAAGGATGAATGAATGAATATGAGGACGAAACGTCGAGTGAGGAAAAGGTTTCCTTGAGGAAGACTGGCCGTGGTTGGGATCGCAGCAGGCGTGATTTTCGCCAGAAATTCTCTCATCATCGAGACCGAACTACCAGATTTCAAGATCACGAGATGTCCAGACCTTCAGCATCTTCGAGCACCTGCTGATTGGGTACGCGTCGTCGTCGTGAAGATTTCCGGGACCATGCGGAACGTCGACTCCGCAAGCAAGCATGACTTCTCCTCTCCTCTCCAACTCAACGACCTCCCCCATCACAATGAGAGACGCGATGTGGAGGCGCGTGACGAGAGAAAAAATCCCCTCCCCTCATCAATCGCGATGAAGTATGCGGAGCCGTCCTCGCAAAGCTTAGACATGGTGAGGAGAAAGGAAAAACTTCCAAACTTTGTATTCCCATGCACGAATCCCAATCTACATTTTTCTAACACGCTAACACTTTTCAAACCGAACGATTTTGCGGAGTAACCTTCGTATCTCCTCGATGGCGTTTCGATAAAAGAAAAGAGTCTGTTTCTTCTTCTGCTTGCACTCCCTTTCTTCTTTGTTTCGTTTCAGACACCACATCCATCCATCCGTTCGTTCAAAGAAAATCAAAAATGAAGACGACTTCCATCCTCATCGCTCTCGCAAGCGTGGCTGCTGCTCAACAAGCCGTCTCACAGATTGGTAAGTTTTTTCCTCCCACTCACTTTTCAATACAATGTCATTTCTAATCTCGTCGCAGGAGATGGCCAGCTACAAGCCGGGACATCCGCTGGCTCTGACTCTGGCTCTGGCATGAGTGCCACGGGAGATTCTGGTGCTGGATCTACTGCTACTGGGGGCGTTGTTAGCCAGATTGGTAATTTCACCACCCATGAAGAAGTGGAGGATGCTTTGCTAAAATTTCGATCTAGGTGACGGGCAACCACAAGCTCCATCTCAAACCGGAGCTATCGTCAGCCAAATTGGTATTTTAACCAAACCACCCTATTCATAAGTGAAGAATGTTATACTAATATGTTAATCTAGGCGACGGACAACCACAAGCTCCAGCACAAACTGATACGGGAAGCGGAGCCAGTGCTTCGGGAAGTAGCAGTGATTCCGGTGCTTCTCCTAGCGTTTCCATCACGCCGTACACTGGTGCTGCTGTCCAGGTTGCGGCTGGAGGGATGGCGGTTTTTGTTGGGCTTGTGGCTGTGCTTGCTCTGTAAACAGGGGCGGAAGGGAGGTGGGAAGGGGGCAGGGAGGTGTGAGATGGAACGAGGAATTTTTGATAATAATGACATCTCATTCCGAGTAGCTTTGCCACCAACCAAATCAAAATCTCGACATCTACTCTCTACCACCACCACCAAACGGAACCCCAACCTCAATTCCCAATTGTTAACAGTAGTCATCATCCCTCATCCGCCGTGCCCGTGCATCCGACTCGACCGCACCCACCCATACTCAAGCGCATCAGCGCCCTTCCCCAGAATCTCCTCCAAATCCCGCCTCAACCTCGGAGCCCACGTATGCGCCTCAGCCGTCGCCTGATCCCCATACTCAAACAAAACCTTCACACTCAGTCCTCGTTGTTTCGGCTTCGCTCTCCCCTCCACAGGAACCATCCAAACCCTCGCCTGAAACTCCACCGTCAACCGCATCTCCTCCAGCGCAGTCACGAGATCTAAAGTTTCTTGTTTCAACGGAAGCCATAAAGGTGATGTGGAACTGTGACATTCCGATGCAGAGAAGATGTGGACGGAGGTGAGGAGTTCCGCTTGGGATTTCTTGAGGGCGAGGAGGATGAAGTCTTGGAAGTCTTGGATGCTGGCGAAAGAGAAGGTGTTGTGGGCGAAGGGCACGAATGCTGCTTCCGCGTACACTTTTTTGCAAGTTGCTAGGAGGTTGAGTGGGAGGGTTGGGGATTTGTTGAGGCGCATTTGGCGGGAGTGGGAATGGTGACGGCCTTTGAATTTTTCGGAACATGAGGCGTGTTTGGTGGAGTAGGTTGTGAATGGTTTGTTGGTGGGGGTTTGTTCTCCGCTCTCTGCGCGCTTGACGTCTGAGTATTCTTTGGTGAAATCATGTGCGCACTCGCAGACTGTGCGGCGGAATCTGATCCAGTCGCAGGGAGTGTGGCTTTGGGGAGGTGGAAGGCGGCAGCGCTGGTACAGTGTACGACCGTATCTTTGTGCTTTTGGAAGCCTGTCGGTCGAAACAAAGGCCTTTCTCTCCTCTTCGTGCACTGGTTTCACGTTGATGTGGATCTCCTGTCCGCCGAGTGCCAAGGCATATATGTGATTGCGCAGCTCTCCCGGAAGGTCGAGGAATCCAGACGTTTTTGGTGCCGCTGCGCTTGGCGTAGTGCGAGATGCGCGGAAGTCGTCGTCGTCTAGGCTTGAAAAGGGCAGCTCCGTCATGGTTGAGAGGCTGGCGGCCAAAAACCTCTGGCCCGCCGAGTAGTCCTGAAGGAAGCCTTTGAAAGAACCACTGAAGAATTACCGATGTTCGTGTATGAGTCGTGCGGTGACTTGTCCTTTTGCAGTCTCTGGTTCTGGCAGGCCATGTCGGGCGCCCGAATGGTAAGCAAAGCATAATTGAACCTTACGTTCTCATGTCAATACCTACTGACGCGGAGTACACGTGTGCTTTCACCTCGGAGTCTACTTAAAGGAGAAGCAAGACGGTAGCGGTGTCCTCGAAAGCAAGTCGTCCGTGTACGCAACCCTGATCGAATCTGTTCACGATTATCTCGAAGCGGAGGGATCGCCGCCATAGTCTTCGCGGCAGGCTGAACATTGTTGTCGAAGCCAAGAAGATATTTTCTACTGAAGTCCCTCCTCGCCAAGCACGAAGATGTCCGATCTGCAAGGGCCAGGGCAGAAGAAAAGAACGCTGAAAATGCTTGAGCCTTGCTTGGTGGACAATGACGACACAACTGCAAGTCCAAGTGCAAGTGCAGCAAAAACTTGAAGGATGAATAGGTTTACTGTATAGCACTTCTCATTATTGATTCTGTCTGCTCTTTCTCCTATTCTGAGGCTCTTCCCAGCAAGTTCCATTCTATCCAAGCCAAGCATCCCAAACGTCCTCGCTGCACTCGCTCCCGCTTGTAACCAATTCTTTAACTCCCTAAAATCATATCCATGCTATGCGGAAAGACTCGCGTGCTCGACAGACAAAAAGCTGGAGCGGGGAATTGTTGGTCATTCGTTTCGTGTCGTGTTTTTCTCTCGATCATCGGCCAGTGCAAGGACGTCTCTCCCTCAAATTGTCGCTTGATGAAGCCCGAGATTGTGCTGCAGCCCTCCATTCATGCTTCATGGTTAATGATGTCTTAACTCCTCCCTCCCCAACCCATGCCTTCACCCCACCAACGTCCCACTAGCATTAACCACCCTCATCGCCTGGCCACCCAAAGTCGCAACCGCCTCGCCAGCAACAGTCCGTTGCAAAAACCCTTGAGAGACATCAGGCCCCGGAGCCGCAACCAACTTATGTGTCCCGGTCAAGTAGTATGCCAATCTGTGGAGTCCAAACACGGTCGCTCGCGGGAGGTAGTAGTAGATTCCAGAGGCTAGCAGGATGATCAAGCTGAGGAAGAGGATGTTGAAAGCTGTCTTCTCGCCGGGAGACATTACGTAGAGTGCGGTGTTGATTTCGTAGCGGTAGTAGGCGAGGTGGATTTGGTATTTTATTTCGGTGAAGATGTTGCGGTGCTTCGGGCGGTGGGGGAAGGATGGGGGATTGTATGTTGTCATGTTGGCCGTTTGTTGGGTGGGTGGAGAAATGCTTGGTTTGTAGGGCTGCTGGGTGGTCGTATTGTATTGGTTCTTTGGAAATGTGCTCGGTACAGAATTGGGAGGAAAGGTGATGATGCTGGAATGATGCTCTCCTGGTGACGATGTATAATAATCCAACTGGGATCTCTTATTTGGCGAGTAATGGCAGTCGCAAAACGCATGAAACAACAGACATGTGGCAGGCAGGACCGAAGCACGATCGCAGGAGCCACGGCGCTAAAGGTTGGAAGAGTGCAAGAACCTGGTTGTTATAGCATGACGAAGAGCAGGAAGCGGAGTCCTGGATTTATGATGGGTGCGCGACTTTCATCTCCGGGATGGCTGAACTTTGCTTGGGTAGCAGTGAGGTCGGTTCTTAAGCTTTGTAACGTCACCGCCGCGGATGGCAGCGCTGAGTCAGTGGTATGGGCAATGTGTCAGATGCTTACAATCTCGCCTGGTCTCAAAGCATGGCATGGCGTGAGCCTCAGGCGTATACAGAGTGAGGCGTGAGCGGCATTGCCAGCGCGTATCTTGGATGAGATTGTATGCGAGCAGTGCCAAGGCATGATCAACGTTGGCCGGTATCGAGGTTGATGATGGAAAGTTGGAATGGAAGACCAAAAGCGGATGTTGCGTTGTGTCGATCTTCATCGGCAGAGTCGGCATCGGCAGCGCCAGAATGTGCCGTGAAGAAAAGCCACAAGCTGTCGCATACATCTATCAGGCGTTTCAAGCTCTTCTCCAGACTCAATCTCAAGCAGCAGCAAAATGCCACTCTACAATCTTGCAAAAAAGTCTCCACGAGCGAGCGATCAGACGAGCATAAATCAAGACTTCGGGCACATTGCCACATTCGATTACTTTTCGGCACCGGGGCATAGTTTCGCCGACGTCGGCGAAACTTCGGCCGGAAAGCAGTCAAGCTACATAAACAAGAACTTTTCCGCCGACCAATTGACGGCGCGGTTGGGTTAATCAGCATTCACCTTGCCTTTTACCAGATGAATCCTTGGCCCACCGCAACCAGCCGCATTCTCAATCTTTGGAACCATTAGTTCGCCCTGAACTTTTGCTGTTTCTTTTGGACCGCGACAATCAGTGAAAAGGTGGCATAAATGTTTTTTTTTGGCTGGCCCGCAGCATGGCTCGAACCCACGACATTCGTGTCCTGTCCAGACTTTTCAGGCATCACTGTTTATCTACCGCGAAGTGAAGTGATGGCGACTTCTCAGCAACTACGGCCACTGCAGCTTGGCACTCACGTCCGTTCGACACATCAGGCTGAGTGTTGACTCGGTATGTGGCGACCAACATGCCAGTGGCCTATGGGCGTGGGCATCATGGGCATATAGCCATTCCCGGCCACCTCGCCTTGCCTTTCAGCGCCTTTCAACTCGTCTCCCATGTCCAACTTGGCGTTTGACACCCGTTCTTGCCTTACATCGACTCGAACCAGCTGCAAATGAAACAAGCTTTCAACGGCCACCCGCAAGCTCACTTCAAACGGTGAAGTCGAACTTCAGAATCTTCATCACCTACACACACACCCACACCCACATTCACCTTCTTGTCACACACATTGCTTTGACAACATCTGGAGCGCCAGGAAGACACCATCACCATGTCGGACCCTCACCACTCCATGGTCCAGTCCAACTTTCCGGTCCTGCTGCCGGACATGCCAGAACTGAAGCTGCCACGCGCCGACTTCGAGCAGCATGTTCTGTCTTTGGTCGCTTACGGCAATAAACCCCTGGCCCACATCAGCAATCGCTTGTCCGCGAAGGACAGCCAAACCAAGGAGAATGCGCCAATGCCTGCCACCGCCACTGCCACTGCCACTGGATCCGGATCCGCCTTCGTGACCGGACTGCTCGCTGCTACACCAAGCTTTGACGAGCGTGATGGCAATATGCTGACCGAGAATAGCCACGCCACCCATTACACTCTAAGCGCCCTGTTCTACCGCCTCAAGACCGGCCTGAAGGGCAAGAAACTCAAGAAAGCACTCGATAGAGCATGGGACATTGACCCGAATGCCACGCTCAAGATCATCTGGAACGCCCGCTCCATTCATCTGGGCGACGCCAGCCGCGAGACCTTCTATCGCGCTATCGGCTGGCTGTACGAGACCCATCCCGCCACTCTTCTTGTCAACTTGCCATGGCTTGTTCAGCCCGTCATCCCAAAGAAGCCGCCAAAGCCAGAAGCGCAGCCTGACACTGCCTCTGCGCGCACGTCGAAGGATATTGACAAGTCTGCCGCAAAGCATTATGAGAGCGACTTCGCCATGACTAATGAAGATGATGAAGATGATGAAGGTGATGAAGATGATGAAGATGATGAAGATGATGAAGGTGATGAAAATGATGAAGGTGATGAAGATGATGAAGATGAGGGAACTGACGCCACCGAGCCACCTTCCAAGAAGCGAAAGATCGAGAAGGATGAAAGTGACTCCGAACTCGACGTCAAGAACGGACTCTCTCACGGCTACTGGAAAGATCCGCTCAACATCTTGGCACTGGCCGTCCGAGGTGAACTTCGTGTAGGCGGCAAATTTGCTCTCGTCACGAATCCAGGCGCTGGAGACAGACTCATCTACATTCACATTGACGGAAAGCGTCGCAAGAGGTCTCAGAACGGTTCCAAGCCCGCTACGAGGGACTGGACTCCAGGTCGATACCAGCACACCAGAGAGGCTTACCACGACACCGCTCTCGCAAAGCTAAACACCAGTTCGAAGTACAAAGCCTTACACCTGACCATCGCTCGCCTATTCGTCGACCAACTCAAACTGGACCTCGACCACCTCCACTCAGACCGCAAGGCCGCCATCTCCCTCTGCGCCAAATGGGCCCCGTCAAACAAAGGCTCCAACGACAAACAAACCTGCATCGTCACCTCCATCGCCGAAACCCTCTACCCCTTCTCATCCGTCTGTCCCGACTCCGTCGACCCCGCCGCCGACCGCACCCTCTACTTGAAGCACGCTCGCAACTCATACCAAACCTCCACCCTCTCGAAACTCCGAGCCCATCTCCAAATCGTCGAGCGCGACATCTCGGCCCAGACGTTTGAGAAAATTGTGTATGCGAACGTTCCCGAGCTGGCGATGAAGCGGTACGAGGAGGTTTTTCGGAGGAAGGATCTTGAGCGGTTTGATGGGTATCGAGATTACGAAGCACGTAGGAAATGGGAGAAGAGTGGGGAGGTGGGGTTTGGGAAGGAGAGGAAGCATGATTCAGTCGCTAGGGTGATGGGTCATGAGGGGTATCGGATGTTGAAGGTTGTGGATTAGCTCTGGCTCGGATAGGGGGTCTATGGGGCTAATGGGTCGATTGGAGGTGTGAAATGGTGGTTTGGGTTTGGAGTTGAGGTTGGGTAGGTGAATGCGAGGGTGAGTAATGAATTAAGTCACTCCGTATTCAATTTCTTCGTTTTATCTCCTTGTCGCTCTGTGCAGTGCCGTCTCCTAGGCTCGTTACGTCGTATATAGCGCTTGCTAAGTATACAACTTTTGCGGAGCGGTCGTAGAATAAGTATAGCGTCTTTCTTACTTTCTTCTTCGTATTATCTCGTCGCCGCTCTATCTCCTATACTTATCGCCTCGTATATAGTACTTCGTAAGTATATATAGCTCCCGTAGAGCGGCTAGAGAGTAAGCTTGCTACTTACTATTACTTTATCTTTAATATCTCGTCGCCGCTATATATAAATCTGTCTCCTAGGCTTATTAAGTCGTATATAGTAGTTAGCGGATATACGGGTTTTATAAAGTAAGAATAGCGTCTTTTCTCTACTATTATACTACTACGCTATATAGTTCTATCTTCGGTCTATATCTCGGCTCGTTATCTTATAGATAGTAGCTCGTAAGTATATAGCTTGCTGCTTTTATAAAGCGGTCGTAGAGTAAGTATATTATTTTCCTTTTTTTTCTCTTACTCCTTCTCTTTCTCTTTATCTTAACTAGGCTTATTGCCTTATAGATAGCGACTCGTAAGTACGTAGCTTTCGTAGAGTAGTTAGAGAGTAAATATATTCTCTTTCTTTCTATCTCCCTATCGATACTATAACTAGACTTATAGCCTTACGTATAGCGGTTACAAAGTATATAGTCTTCGGAGAAAGGATATAGAGTAAGTATAGGATCTTTCTTTCTCTCTTAGACTCTAATATCGAGTCTTATCGCCTTTTATACGCTTATATAGTTATACTTTCCGTAGAGCGGGCAAAAAAAGTAAGTACGGCTTGTTACTACTATATACCTCTATCTCTCTATCTATACTAGCCTTATTGCTTTATACTATAGTCGTAGGGTAAGTATAGTATAGTATCTTTCTCTTATTATCTTATTATCCCTACGCTATATACTCCGTTTTCTTATTTATTCCTAGGCTAATTACCTTATAAATAGCGGTTGCTAGGTACGCAGCTATCGTAGAGCGAGCTACTAGTAGCTAGAAAGTAAGAGTTATAGAGTAAGTATAGCCTTCCTTCTTTCTTCCTTTTTGCTTTGCTTTAATTTCGACTCTCCTATGTCTAGTCCGATACTAAGCTTATATCCTTACAAACAGCGATTGCTAAACACAAAGCTTTAGCGAAGCGCTTAGAGAATGAATGAATAAGTATAGGTAATTGTTGTTACTACCTCTATTATCTATTCGTCATTCCCTCGCAAACAGCCTTCCCCTTCCCCTTCCCCGAACTCACGCCTCCCACAGAGCTACCAAGCCCTCATCTCTTCCCCTTCCTTCCCCCTTTCCCACCCAAACTCACATTCTTAAGCACAGCATGTTTCGGATTCTCCCTCAAATGTTCGAAAAGTTTTGTTTTTGATAAAAAGTTCGCATCACAGCCTTGACATTTGTGAGGAGAAGCCGGATCATTTTCTGGTGTTGTCGATGTTTGTTCTTTTGCTGCGGCTTTTTTGGCGCGTTTTTGGGCGGCTTTGCCGAGTTTCTTTTGTGCAGCAGGTTGGGATGAGGGGAGATCGGTTTCCGAGGTGGTGGCTGTTGTTGGGGTGGGTGTGTCTAGGGGTGAAGAATGGGTGTCTGTGGTTGAGGGTTCATGGAGGGATGTGGAGGCGAGGCGTGCTGCTATGGTTTCTCGGGGGGCGTATTCGTCGTTTTCATCTTCTGATTCGGAGGCTGGGGGTGTGGAGTTGTGCTGCTGCTGGGTTGATCCAGAGTCTTTTTGCGGGTCATCGTCTTCGTCTGATTTGGCAGCTTCGGAAAGCTCTTCATCGTTTTCGTTCTCTTCACTATGCTCTGCTGCCGCGCCATTCTCACGAACATCGTGATCTTCGATTTCTGCAGCAAGATCGTCCAGAATTTCTTCTTCTTCCTCGTCGCCATCAGCATCTGGTGTCACAGCACCACTCGAGATAGGTTCCTCGTCAAGATGGAGATGAGCATTCTGCTTCCGCATCCTCTTCTGCAGCTCTTTAATCGCCTTTTGATGCTTCTTGCTCTTCTCATGCGCATCCATCTGCTTTTCACTCTTGAAGATTTTATTGCAAGCCACGCACTCGAAGACCTCCTCCTCCACCTCTGATTCCGAGAAAGTGCCCTCAAGCTCATCTTCCGCGGGATCTCGAGACATCGTCCACTCCGGCACAGCTTCGTTCGTTTTCGCAGCGTTCGCTTCCTGCGCCCTCTTGCGCTGGGCAGCTGCGGCATCTCGCAAAGCTTTCTGTCGCTCTTCTTCGGTCTGTGTATTTGGCACGAATCTCGGGTCTCGCTTCTTCACGAACTGCACGAGCGATCGCACGGCCTCGTTGAACTCCGCTTTGGCATCTTTGCGAAGCTTGGCATTTTCTTGCTCCATGCGCCGCCGTATGAATCTGTCTGGTGCTTCCGAGACTCGATACCGATCGCACCACGAGAATGACTTTACAGTAGTGAAGCCCGACCAGACAGCGTAGAAGCTCTTGACCACATCTTGATACTCATCATCCTTGTGGCCGAACGTGGGATACTCGAGGAACTCGGCATCTTCCCACTGAGCTGCGACCTCTTCTTCCTTGGCAAGATGCTCAAACGTTTCTCGCAGGAATCCGAAAAATCCGGACGGAGAATCTGTGAACTCGACGTTTTTGTTGAACTTGCCTATGATGCGTGCCAGATCATCGGCGCTCGTGACTTTGACGTCGTGGTAGACGGGAGCATTGCCGTCGCCTGGCTCGCCACCTCTCAAAATCGCCGATTCATGGCTGTCATACCATGCGCGTTCTTGGGGGTCTGAGAGCACTTCATATGCAGACTGCACCTCGGCGAAGGTCTGGGTGGCGTGTTCTTCATTGCCATAATTGCGGTCGGGGTGAAGCTCCAAGGCTTTCTTCCGGTACGCTTTCTTGATTTCTTCGTCTGTGGCGATCCGCTCCACTCCGAGCACAGTGTAGTAGCTGGTCTTGACCTCGACAGCAGCGCCAGCACCACCATCAGACGATGACTGGCTCTGGCCCATGGCGACGAATTTTGACGGCGATGAGGTTGCAGTTGTTTGCTGAGTCAAGAACTGAACGGACTCAGGTCCGAGGATGACTCAGGCATCCTTTTTTGCTTCCATCACTTGCACCCCTTCGAGGCGGAATTGCGCAGGATCCTACACACAACGCGCCATATCGAGCTACAGTATGAGCCTTGTGCTGGCCGTGTTGTAGACCTTTTCGTCGCACAAATGGACCGATATGCTGCCACTCGTGCAGTCTTTGACATCAGCGTCTGGATGCACAAGTATGCCTTTGATGCTATCGGCGACATCTTCTACGGCAAGGAAGGTGGCTTCGGAATGATTCGAGACCACATAGATTACAATGGCTGGTGCAAGTGCTTGGAGACCATGGCAGATATCGGCGGTGCGGACGCCAGGGCAGGCCTTTCCAATATGGAGAAGGTCAAGAAAGATGCCAAGAAAGCCACGGAAGAGAGACTTGGAGAGAGATCTGCGAAGGCCGATGCATCCATTGCTGTGTATCAATGGGACGAGTGATGGCACTGGTGAGTTTCACTGCATTCTCCCGTGAGGTATCGATATCAGAATTGCTGATGAAGACAGTCTGGCGGCTGCGATAAGTCTATCCGAATCATGTGGACGGTCTTCATCAAGAGTCGAAACGTGCTCGAAGATCACGCTCTAAATGCATGCCTTCCTACATGACTGCTATCAGAAGGAAAGGGCCTCAATCGCAAGCTATTCCTGCCACTCCTCAATTTGCAAGGCACCTTCCAATCGGAAAGCAAGACCACTGCAAGCCATGCCATGCCCGTCAGTCATTCTTGACACGCTCCTTGACAACCACATAACCCACAGCCCTCGTGCCGATCCAAGCAAACTTAGCACTCGGCATGTCTTATCCAAAACACATGGACTCTCCTCTGAGCCATATCGACGATTCACAGTTGCAACAGCTCATCAAGTCGAAAGCCGAAGCCGTGGCGGAATTGAACACTCGATTCGAAGCGGTGCAAGGAAGCCTCTCCGCCTGGCTTGCTACACAAGAAAGCTACATCGCTCTGCTTCGAGTGGCGGACAAATATATGCCTTATGACACGACAACGCAGGGTTACATCGAGAAGGTTGTGGAGGAGAATAAGAATCTTCTGAGAATGATAAATCAATCCAAAGGCTTCCATACTGAGCTCCTCAATGGAATCACCGCCGGGAATGCCGACCACCCAGAAGCTGCAAGTTCTGGTCTCAACGAAAATCTGGGAGTCGCCGGCTTTTCTGACCATGGCACTGCTGCTGGTGGTGCGAGCGAGAATTACGAACCTGGAGAGGGAGACAATATGACTCAATCACAAGAGGAGTATATCCTAGACGCCAAGAAGCATTTGGAAGACGGGCAGACTGAAGCGCCCAACACGAGCAGCGGCAATGCCGACGACCTGAAGACCAGGCTTGCTGTCAGCAGCGAAAACATGGGTTTCGGCATCTTTATAGGACCTCACATCATGATCGCAGGATATGGCGAAACTGCTCCCGATACAACCGGACGAATCACGCGCCGTGTAAACTTCGCTTGCCTGCCAGAAATTCATTGTCAAGCCCACTCGCACGATCCAGGCAATGAAAAGTATATTCCACATCAATTTACCATCATCATGGACGCGAGCGATCTCACAGAGAAGCTACTGGTGTCCGGGTTTCGCATAGGGGTCTGCATGGTCTGCAACGACCATGTCAAATATGTCCTGAATTACTGTCAATGCCACAAAGACCGGTGTCCGCCTTGCCTCTATCGCTGGTTGGCAGAACTACAACAAAGATTTGACGAATTATCGGCGACGATGGGAAAGAATCCGTGCTCTGAGTGCGGCAAGGTCGCGAAGCAACACCTGCTATGCTGCATGTGCACATTGTTTGTGCGAGAGGCTTGATTATGACACCAGTACCATAATCGACATTTCGCTTCGACCGTTCGGCTCAACCAGTATCGATACTCCCGCGGCGGAATACAGACAGCGCGCATAAAAGATCAGTCGCTATTTCAACCCCACAACGACCATCTACACCTCATCCTGCTTCACGACCAAGAACCTGCCAACCTTCATCCTCTCCCCCAGCTCTCCTCTTAAGAAATACCTCTCCCCCTCAATCCTAACCTCAATCACCAACTCCCTCCTCCCATCCTCACCTTCCTCAAAACCCCTCACACTCGCCTTCCCAGCAAACAAAACCTCACCCCCCTCCAACTCCCAAATCTCAACCTCACTCTTCCTCCCCTTCCTCGGCGCCGCCCCAAAAAACTCCACCGTATGAACATGTCCCTCCCCGCTCCCATCCCCATCCCCTTCTTCAATACTCTCCCTCGCATCCAACCGATCCCTCGCCCATCCAACCATCTCCTTAATCGCCGGATCATCCTTCAACAAAACCACCTCACCCGAATACTTCGCCCCTTTAAACTCAACCTCCAAACCCCTGACATAGATTTCTTTCCCACTCCCGGGACTCGTCGTTTCCGAAACCAGATCCAAAAATCTCGCGACGCCTTTCGTATCTTCTGATTTCGGGATCTTCAGGACGGACCCGGCACCGTTTAGGGGGGCTGAAGTGCAGTGGGTTTTCCATGCGCGTTGAGCACCACGATCGAGTTTTTCTTCGGGCACTTGGATTTTTCCGCGCCAGCCGGAGCGCGAGCCGGAGAATGACACTTCGTACAAGTAGTGGCTGTTTTTGTGCGCGAGGATGGAGGTCAGGTGGCAGTCGCGGGTTTCGTGGTCGAGGGGGAGGCTGAAGATGGAGGGGTCTGGAGGTGGCGGAAAAAAGCGTTTGGATTGAGACTCGGAGGGTGGTGGCATGGTTGTTGCGTGGTTTGAGTTGGGAAGATGTGCGATGGGAGGGGGATGTTGGGGTTTTGGCGCATGGTGGTGGAAGTTGGAAGTTGAAGTGGTGAGGTTGTTGGTGCTTGGCTGTCACAAGATGCAAGTGAGGTTTGGCAGGTGGTCTGTGCACGACAGTAGGTGCTGGTGCCTGATTGTAGCGGTGTGAAGCCGCGATTTAAAGAAATATTTAGTTTAGAGAGAGATTCCCTAGTAAGACGAGAGCGATAGGGAAAGTTTATTCTTAGGGTTAAGATAGTTATAGAGGGAAGGAGTATAAGGGTAGAGTATAGGTTCTAAGTAGGAATAGCGAGATTAGGAAGGTTACTAATCTAGTACTTAAGTTTACGGACCCTCTAGAGTATAGTACTTAATCTAGATTTTACTATCGATATTAGAGCTAGGAGTTATAAGAAGATAAATTAGGCTTCGAGGCAAAGGCGTTTATTAGAATTTGCACCTACTAGTAGGCGTAATTAGAATTAGCGGTAGGATAATAGAGCGAGAGAATCTTCCTAAGAAGTACTATACTTATAAGATATATTAGGTAAGGAAAACGGAGGGTAGGAATAAGTACGCGAAGAAGGGGCACGGCTGTCCTAGTACGCTAGCTTTCGTTCTTACGGACGGGGGTGCTGTTACGGCAGGCGCCGGACACGTCGGCCTGGTACATACTTCCAGCACCGTAGATACTTCACCAATACCATACCATTGCTGACCTACTGATTCGTCCCTCGCGTGACAATTGGTAGCTTCGAAGAGGCAGGAATTTAGAGGTCTGTAATCGATGATACCGCATCGTCTTCGATCTCGTAAAAGCGTCTTGTGCTGCTTAATTCCGAGACAATGGTCATTATGTCTCTTTCGCCTCGTGAAGATTTTGATGTGGATTCATCTTTGAAGAAGGCTTCGCTCACCCAAATTCAATCCTTGTCTCAAGAGCTTCGCTTGAAATCTTGATACCGCGGTGCTTGTGGCAAAGTTGTAGGATCCCAAGTTTGATCCAGTTCATGAATCGAGACTGGTGAAATTACGATCTCGCTCACCTGCGTTGAATGAGGAAGTCGCAGCTCCGCTTGAACTCGTGCCACTGCGGTGCTTGGGGCGAAGCCGAGTGTTCATACAACCCTCTCTAACGGCCAACGCATCCCGTCGTGAGCACCCTCCCTTAGCGAGACACTCGGGTAGAGGGGTGTAGGTCGAGGTTTCCGGGGGAAACTCGCTAGACAAGGTTAATGTCAACAAATCGTGAAGTAACGAATGTGATCCTCTCATAAATGGTCCCTCCGAATGAATTTCTCTCTGGAATCAGCAGGGCCGATGAGGGCAGATGCACACTTACCACCTATTCTTCGCAAGGTCGGAGATGAATTAAGAGAGGGGACGAGGAGAAGTGAGATTTGGGATAGAGGACGAATTTGTTCTCCATTACAGCAAGCAGTAGTAACAGGATTTTCGAGCCAGAAGTCCCGAGCAATGCTTCGCTCCAATTTGCATTGTGTTGCCTTCCCGTCTCTTCGGGACTTGCGAGGTACTCGTGGGTGGATGGTGGCGATTCTCTCGCCTTGACTGACGTTTTGCTTGCTATGGCTAGTAGAATAGCACTTCGCATTTTGCATAAGCTTGCGATGCATGCCGTCTCAGGGCAATGAGCTGTAGAGACCTCAAATTCCGCTTGATTGAAGGTAGACGGCTCGTGAGAGAGAAACAGTATTGTTCAGTTCCAGACCAGGCCACTGGTATCCCGCAGAATGGCAGCCCTACTCTGCTGCGCGTCGTATTCTCATCTCTTGCAAGGCGTAGAAACTGTCTTGTGCGTGCTTAGTGGGTCGCTCGATTGTTAAGCATACTGTCGAGGCATCCATCTTTCAAGTCGGAGGTAGAGCAACTATTCGCTGCTACTGTATGCCTCGTTCTCGACTCTTTTTTTCCGTATCTAATCTAAATCGAAGGCTACTTTACGCCCACGCATCTATTTCTCATAGCTGCTTCGTATGGTCTTGCGGCATGGGATCTTCCAGTAGAGTACGGGCATACGGGCATACGCGTACGTGCAGGCTCTCGGCGTGATTCTACGACTCCAAGGTCGTGGATATGTTCGTTTTCTGCCACGCCAAGACTCTCGAGGGGTTCGGGGTTCCGCCAGGGGTCGAAGACTTCGACGATCAGTTATCTCTCTGCTCCTTTTCCTTCACCTCCCACCTCTTCCATACGGCCTGTCTCGAACGGCTTGTATCTCGTTCGCAAATCGACTCCACCTACCCTGATTTGTTTGATTGAGGGACGCCCCTGAAGCGTGGACAATGCCTCCCTCACAAGCTGCAGGCTCCACTTTGCCCGCATCCATGAGAATATCTTGTCTTATTCATGTCCCTGCATTCGGAAGCTGAAGAATGAACAACCCACATTCCACACAAGAGCAGTAGAGCAAGCCACATTCCAGCCTCACACCAACCAATGCAGCTTGATGCGGCGAGAGGAGACAATGGTGTGAGGATTATGCCGAGTGGTGCTGCTCCACATCAATACACATATTGTATCACCATTACTGCGCCAATTGGGCCAAGAAAAGTCAATGTCGTCACTAGGGACCACCTTCAACAGCTGTACGACCCGACATTGAACACATGAACAAATACCAGAACAACAATCGCCAAGTCAGACGCAAGTTGAGATTTCGGCACAGGAACAGTCTTTGACATCATGACGCCCATCTTATCACATCTTTCTGCATTGCTCCGCTTGCAGGTCCAGGCGGCTCCGACATTGATCCAGCCATATCTCGGTACCAAAATGAGCTAAGATCTTAGATCTTATATAGATCGAGCGGCAGTGGCTCCGGTCGTTTGGAGCCGGCCGAGACGAGCAATGGCGTGCAGTCTCCACGTGCTAGAATAATGGTGTAGCCGCATAGGGACAATCTACTTCTTCCGCGACACGTCTTCGCGTCATCTCGGAATCATTCTCTGCGAGTTTAGACGACATCATGACTACGGTCCAAACACACCGCTAGGAGCTCTCTAAGGCCGCATGTGGCTCAGGACGGTCCAGAATTCTGGTTCATGCTTCTGCTTGCAAGAGTGCTTCCTGATCGTTGCCTGCGACTAGACGAACTGTCGTACCCGCTTCTCTCTGCGGACCTGCATCTAAGCTGCCTCATGCGGTGTTTCCAGGTCAACAATTTTCGGCGAAGTACGGCATGCAATTACTCTTTGACAAGCAATTTGCAAGCGAGCAATGCGGCCCCAAGATGAGCTAGAGACTGGATATAAGACTGCTGTCTGCCGCTTTGACCCTTCGACCCTTCTTCACCTTGTCCCTCCAATCCCCCACCCTCAAAGAGCTCCTTTCCTTGGGCTCTTCTGTTGTTCATACAATTGGCAAGAATTCTCGGAGACTTTCGTTTCTTCAAGAGTATACACCCCGACCACCCTGCCATCATGTCTGACTTGAAGGCCACCGTGGCTGAGACCACCAAAGGCTTCCACGTCGAAGGCTACGAGAAGATCGAATATGATTTCACCTTCATCGACAATGTCTTCGATACCAGCAAGCCGGATCTTGCTAAGTGCTACGAGCGTTGGGGTCGTTGCTTAGCTGTCATGGACATGAATATTTTCAGTGTCTACGGCGAGCAGATGCAGCGCTACTTTGACCACTACAACATTCAGCTCGATGTGCACAAGACCATGATTGGCGAGAAGGCCAAGAGCATCGACACTTTCTTGAGCATTGTTGATTCAATGAACAAGTTTGGCATCTTCAGGAAGGAGCCAGTGTTGGTCATCGGAGGTGGTTTGGTTACAGATGTCGCTGGGTGAGTAAGGATTTCCGTTTCCGGATATATAGGACCATTCCGGCCGTGATCACCATTTGAAATTGCTCTGGTTGACTATTGATGACAGCTTCGCCTGTGCCGCCTACCGCCGCAACACCAACTACATCCGCATTCCAACAACTGTTATTGGCCTCATCGATGCTTCAGTCTCGATCAAAGTTGCTGTCAACTACGGCAATTACAAGAATCGACTCGGAGCTTACCACGCCCCCATCCACACCTTCCTCGATTTCACCTTCTTGCGAACACTTCCAAAGGCGCAGATCAGAAATGGTTTCGCCGAGCTGATCAAGATTTCTTCTTGCGCTCACCTCCCTACGTTCGACTTGCTGGACAAGTATTCCACCGAGATCATCGAAACCGGCTTCGGCCGCACAGATGGTGCTTCACAGGAAGTCCGCAAGGCATGTGACGAGATCAACAGGGCTGGCATCTATGAGATGTTGAAGCTTGAGACGCCCAACTTGCATGAGATTGGGCTTGACAGAGTTATTGCTTACGGTCACACGTAGGTGGAAATTGAAACGCCACCACCGGTTCCTTGACTGACATTTGCACAGATGGTCACCACTGCACGAACTCGTTCCCGATGTGCCACTCCGCCACGGTCACGCCATCTCTATTGATATGGCATACTCTGCCACGCTTGCCCACATGCGTGGTAATCTCCCAGAGAAGGACTACAGGCGTCTTCTTGACCTCTTCTCACGTGTCGGTCTTTCCATGGACCACCACCAATTCAACGAGGATATCCTCGACAAGGGCACCAAGGCCATCTTGAAAACACGAGATGGCAAGCTCCGTGCGGCCATCCCAAGCCCACTGGGATCATGCGTCTTCCTCAACGACGTGACTACCGAGGAAATGCACGCCGCTCTCCGCAAGCACAAGGAAGTCTGCAGGACCTACCCGCGTAATGGTGAGGGTCTTGAGGCCTTCGTTGACAGCAGCGATACTGGCTACACTCTCAACGACGCGCCTGTCGAGACCAACGGCGTCAGCAATGGCTTGAAGAAGATTAATGTTTTGAACGACGATACGACTGAGATGAACGGCGCCAATGGTCATGCTAATGGGCATGCCAATGGTATCAACGGACACGCAAATGGCGTCTCTGTCAACGGCGTAAAGTCGGCGACAAAGGCAGCATCAGGCCCAGAGGGTGTTGATGGCCTGCAGAAGAAGCCAAATGGTATCATGAACGGTACCAATGGTGTTAACGGCGTTCACTGAGCGAGATACCCACCAGCAGGTTAATGCTGTGCATTTTCTGTAGCCCGATCGAGAAAAAAAAACATTCTTGGACACTATCACGAATCAATGAGTTTCTCTGTGATACAATAAAAACGAATTGCAAAACTTTATTGCGATTCCAATTTTTGTCTAAATGTCGTATTGTCAACAAGCCATAGGACTAACCATTGCAGGAAAGCGGTCAACAACAATTCGCGGGGCATTGAGCACAAATTTTTCGTGTCACGTCGTCATCGTGAGGTTGTATATATGCAAGTGTGACGCTTACAATCCCTCCTTTCATGCAGGGCGTTCAGACGAACCACGTTCTGAGCCTCTAGACTTGACTTGACTCGTGTCCACATAGCTACCACTCGGATTCACTCTTTTCATTCACAGCTACAAAGCTCCTACCTTTACGAAATTTCCCCCAAGAGATCCAGCAACCCCTCGAATCCCGAATGCATCCATCACAATGGCCCTCGACACAAACTCCCCCCGGCGAGCTCACGCCCTACAAAACCTCTCTCTCATCATCCTGAGCCTGCTATTCCTACCCCTAGATCTCACAATCCTATCCTTAAGCTACGCCCGCCTCATCACCACCGGAAGAAAAGCCTCGGCAAGAATCCAACCCTCCAAACACCCCAAAACGATCCTGGTCACTGGAGTCGGAATGACCAAAGGCCTCTCCCTCGCCCGAAATTTCCACCTGGCGGGTCACAGAGTCATCGGCGCGGATTTCGACAAGTTCGGGATTGGAAGGTTTTCGTGCGCGGTGGAGAAGTTTTATCGACTTCGAAAGCCATCTGAAGGAGGAGGAGGAGGAGGAGGATATATCCAAGGACTTTTGGACGTGATTTTGAAAGAGAAAGTTGAGATTTGGGTTTGTTGTTCGGGAGTTGCGTCGGCGGTTGAGGATGGCGAGGCGAAAGAGATTGTGGAAAAGAGGACGAAGTGTCGGGTTGTTCAGTTTGGGGCTGCGGATACGCGGACGTTGCATGAGAAGGATGCGTTTATTCAAAGGACGAGGGAATTGGGGTTGAATGTTCCTGAAACGCATACGGTTACGAGTCGGGGAGATGTAGAAGCTACACTGAGAAAAGCTCCGGCTGGGAGGATGTATTTGTTGAAGACGATTGGTATGGATGATGTAAATCGTGGGGGTGTATTGCTGCCGAAGGAGAGTGAGAAGGAGACTTTGGCGAGTTTGTCGAGGATCGAGAAATCTATTTCGAAGGATAAGTCTTGGATTATGCAGCAATTTGTGCGTGGGGAGGAGTTCTGTACGCATTCGTTAGTCGTGCGAGGGAAAGTGAAAGCTTTTCTGGCATGTCCTTCGTCGGAACTCTTGATGCATTACGCAGCTCTGCCGGCGGACTCGAGTCTGAGCAAGGCGATGCTGAAGTTCACTGAGACTTACGCTGCAAGGAGTGGGAAGGACTTTACCGGACACCTGTCTTTCGACTTCTTGGTGGAGGATTCCAAGCCCACTATTCCTGACGAGATTGTGCTGTACCCTATTGAATGCAATCCTAGAGCACACACAGCCGTCTGCCTATTCAATGGAACACCGGAGCTGATCGATGGTTATTTGGACTTACTGGACGAGTCGTCAGATAACCAGATGAAACCCATCGTAACACCTCTTCGAACTCATCGATACTATTGGATCGGTCACGACCTCGTCGAGTTCGTACTAGCGCCAGTCATAGGTTTGCTTCGAGGACAAACGTCTTTCTCGGAGCTCTTGCATGGGCTACGCGCTTTCGCAGAGCACGTCTTGTCTTGGAACGATGGTACGTATGAGGTCTGGGACCCTTTGCCCTGGTTCGCACTGTACCATGTGTACTGGCCGATGCAGTTTCTGCATTGCTTGAGCAGTGGCAAGAAATGGAGTAGGCTGAATGTTAGCACGCTCAAGATGTTTGAGTGCTAACGAAGAGTTCTCGATCGCGGACCTGTACGGGATCTTTGGCCTGTTGCTGCTCCACCAAATATGGATTCCGGTCTGGTTTTTCTTTCTAGCGAGAACCGACTTCGAGATGCTGGTTTTGACGTTTTGGTGGCTTGTTGATAACTTCGAGTTCTTCCTTGTGTCTTGCAATTGTCAAGAACATTAGTCGAAGCATGGCTGCATGGAACATGATTCGAGTGTCCGACCTGACATGAGCTTCTAGCGGATTCGTTGCGAAGCCGTTGCAGCTATAGTCAGAAGCAAGAAGAAACGGACGGATTCTGTCGCCCACGTTGTAGCAGCACGCGACACCGCATGGTAGAACATTTGCAGGGAAGCGCTCAAATCGAATCGCGACAACGAGTAAGGTGCTCATGGTTCGGCTGAGACCAGACCAGCCTTTCGAGTCCACGAGTTTGACAGAAGTGTGTGCTGAGCGCGCTTTCTCTGGTACTGCCGAGAGGTCCTCTTGGATGTCAGGAAATTTAGCGTACTACTGTTTCGATTAGTAGTTACCTTCCGGAGGGCGTTATCTACTGATTCAGTAGTGTTGGCTTAGTATTTGACGGTGCTTATCCTCTTCTGGTACCGTAATAACCTTCTCGGTTATACTGCTAGTTCTAACCGCACCTCTAGCACCTCCGCGGCTCTTTGTAAGTGCATTCTTATTATATAAACCAGGCTCTTTCTAATAGCTACAATGGTATCTTATAGCTCTCATCCTTATCGTTATAATGTCTAAACTAGTGCCGCCGCCGCCGTCGTCGTTCTTTAGGCCGGATCGCATTCTATATAATATTATCGATATTCGAGAGTAGCTGTTCAATGTGCCTAAATACGGATTGACGTACGATCCGGACCGGTTTACTAGACAATAACGAGGTCGACGAGATAGTAATTAGCGTAGATAGGCCTTCCGCTATAGTCGTAGAAAGCGGTAATTATATAGCAATTCTATAGCAATAACTCTTAGTCTATACAATAGTCTCTTCTACTGCAAAATTGCTACTTCTATAATAGTTAAATAGCCGCTTCTACGATAGTTAGCAATAGTTAACCGATAGGCTCGAGAGAGGCGCCCTTCTTAACCTAATTCGTTACTACCGCCGAGTGGTTTTCAACGCTACAAAATAGGAGGATTGCGGGAGCTTATTGCTAGTAATTACTAGCGGAACGGCTGTTCCACTCCTCTAGTTAAGCTTTCACTAAAACTCCTAACATCCAAGACAAACCCTGCCGAGACAGGAGTTATATTCTTCTGCCGAAGTGCGGCTGCTTGCTAGATGCTGAAAAGTTGCGAATTCTAGGAGCTTGATCGTAGAGTATAAGGAGCCGAAAACCATCTAGATTGCTTGGAAGTCCAATGTGTGAGGCCTTTGTCCAAGTCCCTTCGGCATCTCGTGAAGCCAACAAAGTGCAGTCCGGCGTACATTATATTTATTAGCTTTCTCTGGAACGACAAGTCGAGTCGCGCTTGATGAAACAGACTAGCGGCTAGTCATGAGTAGACTGCACAACGGCCTTCTGCAGTGTTCGAGAAGCGTCTTATAAGAGGCCAGAATATCTTCCAAAAGTGAATGTCTGCTGCTATAGACTTCAGGAAGTTAGAATGTGAAGCAGCATACATCGAGATGGAAGCTGAATGATGAAGCAAATACTTAGCGCGCATGTGGCTTGAGCACACACCATATATTGCCTCAATCCGCCTTCAAACTTTGGTTCGTCGATCTTAAACTTTCGTTCCTGACTTCGTGGGAAGTCTTCAACCGTCAGGAACGCTTCGATAACCTCGTGTTCCCGGGATCCGAGTCGTGATCAAGTCATGTCGGAAGCAGCACGTTTGTTCTGGAATCTGTCCTCATGTCAGCGACCAGGGGACAGCGATGAAGTCTAAAGTGCGAAGAACTCACCTTCCGTTCCTGTGTTTCGGCGTATACGAGCCGGCTTGATGATAGTATACAGGCCGTTACGGCATGCAATTACCCACTACACGAAGCACGGACTGGGATAATCGAGCAGAAGCCAAGGGAGCATGCGTTGCCGTTTTCGACCTCGAGGCATGCAAGAGCTTGCTGTATTATTGGGACAGTCCTATCCCTATACAGCTATAGGACTCTCGTCAAGAATAATTCTGTCGGGATGAGCAGCCCTCTTGATTCAGGGTGCGCGACTGGAAGTAATCCTGTGCTCCACGAACACATGTAGGCTCAGAACGTGGACCGAGCCATGACCAGACCACACAACGGCAAAGAAGTTTGTGCCTCAGTGGTATGGAGTCCAGATTGCCGTCGACCGAGAGGCCAAGCACAGCAGCAGACTATAAGGCTACACTGTTCGCCCCAAGTGAGCATTGAATGGTCATCAGCGGCATTTTTGAAATTTTTCCTTTTCCATACACACATGACTTACCAGGAGTCCTTCGTTTTCAGCATGACTTTCGTCAAACACTCTGCTGCCCTTGCAGTACTAATTGCTGCTGTTGGAGCCAGTCCCGCAGCTCAAAATCTTGATTTCGCTGCTCTTGACGCCGCTCCGACAGTACCCAGTGGGCCTTCGATCATTCCACATGTCGATGGCGTCGAGACGGCTTCTATCCTGTCCAGTGTTGCCATTACTGGTGTAGCCACGGCAGCGACTACTGGAGTTGCTAAGCGCGACGACGCATATACACCGTACTATCCGGCTTTGGCAACCGGTTACACCACAGATCCGGCTTTGACCAAGACTGCTACAGCTCCAGGAGCTTGTGCCACCCAGCCCGAGGCCGGTATGTCACAGGCTCCAATGCCATTCGAGCGTAGAATCGCAGCTGACTTGGCTCTCTTCGCATTTGATCAGGCACCTATTGTGGCTTCATCAACCCGTTAGACCCTTGTGCACCTCAGCCAGACGGCTATGGTCCAGTTCCAACTCCAGACACTGCATCCGCATTTCTCGCCCATCCTCCCTTCCACTCCTCAGCAAAAGCGGCGCCAACGAAAGTGCCATCGACAAACAATACCCAATATACTCAAGGTAAGCCAGATGCCAAGGTGGTATGCGGCAGTACATGAGCTAAGGGATATCAGTCTTCAAAGATCTCAATGCAGCCGTTGCCGGACAGTCGTACCTCGCTCTTTTCACCCTGAAGACCTACGACGTCTCCACCTGTGCCGCAAAGTGCGATTCCTGGAATCTCTGCACGGCGTTCAACATCTTCTTCGAGCGTGACCCTTCCCTCAATCCCACCAACAACGATTCAACTTACGACCCAGGCTACCCAACCGTTTGGGGGCAAAATTGCCCCAATCCCCCTTCGATGACGAGCATCAAGTGTACGCTATGGGGTTCCAACATCGACGCCAGCATGGCCACCAACAATGGGCAGAAACGCGAAGATTTCGAAATCGTCATCACCGGGAGCGACGGATATGATAAAACCAACGTCGTCACTCCACCCGACTGCAGTGCTCCTTCGGGACCAACTCCAACCTCCACGCGAACAACCACCACTCCCAAGTCCACGACCCCAGCAAAGCCCCCCACCTGGCCCTGGGGAAAACCCAAGAACTGCGGTGGTCGAGCCATCAACGCTCCCAGACAACACATGGGCTCTCGCTTCATTCCGGGACCTTTCAACCCACAAGTCTGCTCCGACTACGCGATTCTCCAAAATCAGGCTAACCAGAGGGCGGGCAAGCCGCAGTGCAAGATGTTCAATGCTTACTATTTGCACAAGAATGGTGTGCCGTATGGAACTTACTGCTCGATTTATTCGCATTCGTTGGAGAGCGCGTGGGCGACGGCGAATAAGGTCCAGTGGGAGCGGGGAGATAGGTATGAGTGTAGGCAGTCTTGGACTTATTCGCTTAAGTAGTGGTGCAGGGAAGGATGTATAGCCGTATTTGTTTGTAGATCTGCGTGGTGGCTGAAAATGTAGTATTGACGCTCGGAGTCGCTAATTAATGCCAGAATAGACACATTATGGTTTCATCTCCTCGCAAGAACACGACTCTCGCGAGCGCAGCGCATTTCTCTGCGACGTCTTGACGGCAAGTTGAGCGATATGTTGTGTTATTCGTCGTTCGGTGCTGTCGATGCCGAAGTCTCTGCATTCCCGATTCTTGCAGAAATCAAGTATCCTAATCTATCGAGTGCGTTGCCGGCCTGCTTGCACAGTAGCGCTTGTCTCAGAGCCGTCGTGAACTTTTACATCCCGCTTCCTGAAAGACGATCAACTAGGCAGAGGCACTGGCGCGAAATCATTTTTCTCACTCAATGCTTCCCAAGACTCTTCCCACTAGCATCAACAACAGCTCTACTAAAAGTCGCACTGAGCTTTCCTTCCTTCTCCATCGCCCTCTTCCTCTGAGCCGCTTGAATGCCCGCCCTATCGGTGAGTGGAGCAGCGTTGATGATATTATCAAACTCATCATCTTCCTCGTTGCCGACATCCGAGCCAGATTCCGCATCGGAGTCTACGGGCAACTCGATTTTCTTCGTCTGCGAAGGGCGCTGGATTCGCTCTGGTGCCTGTCGTGAATTGTCTTCTGCCTTGGACGGGTTGCTGAAAGGTTTTGATGCGAGGACTCTTCGTCTTAATTCTGCCATTTCTTCTTCGTCGTCGTCGTTGGGTGGAAGGGCATATGGATCTCGTTCTTCGTCATCGCCTTCGTCATCTTCGGTGTTGCCATGCACCTGGACTGTCTCGCCAGGCTTGGGTCCGCCGAGTTGTATGCCACCTAAACTGCTCGTATCGCTATCATCGTCTTCCTCATCATCACGTCCTTCTTCACTGTCAAGGCCATTGCCCTGGACTGGTCTCGGTCCTCTCCGATTCAGATTTCCACCCGCCCAAGCATCGTCCTTGTTATCCTCTCTTGCTTCTCGATCCTCTTTCCATTCATTCTCGATCTGCGCCAGCCACGACTCTTCGCACTGCTTGACTTCCTCTTCATCCTTGCACGCCGCATACTTTGCGAGCACTTCCTCGTTGATGTCAAGAAACGACTGTCCGTACGAAAACGTGCTCAAAATTTCCTCTGCCCAATCCGAATGCCCGCATATGGCGAAACATGCCGCCAGTGCTTCCACGCAGTTCAGCCTCCAGGGTCGCCCGTAATTCGTCGGATTCGCAGCGATGAGGTAGGGCAGTAATCTCGAGTTCGGGCCCCCGATCTTGTTGAAGGGGACTTCCTCGATTCGGTTCCACGAGGCTTCCACCACAGCAGCACCGTATTGTTCCAGGATCTCGCGATCTGCGGGGCTTATGAGAGTCTTTGCCTTGGGCGAGACCACAACGCCAGGATGCTTCTGTCCCACATGCAGTTCTCGCATCAAGCCAAGTCGCATGAGTCGCTTGCCGGAACATCTTTTCGCATCGCAGTGGTTCAGATCCCATGCTGCCGCTTTGAATGGTGGTCGACGGTTGCCACCCAAGCCATTATTATTCTCGCGATCTGGATGTGTGTGCTGTGCGTGGGCTCGAGCATGGGTGTGATTGCCGCCGCGGCCAGATTTGAAGTCTTTCTTGTGTCGGACCATATCGCGTTGGTGTCGGGTTGGCTTGACGGCGTAGAGAAGCGTTGATCGAGAAGCAGATATGGACACCGAAAAGCGTCTAGTACTTGTGTCGTGTAGATTTCTCGACATGCGGCAGCTCTCCATGACGCACGAGTACCCAGATAACTTAGTCATCAAAAACTGAGTGCCCCAATTGATTAGGTCCAATCAAATCCTTGAAATCTTCGGAATGCACCTTCTCGCCAATAAAACTTCACCTCGACAACAACAACACCATGACTTCGGCGGTAGACGCGCCAGAAGGCGTACAACACTACCACTTCCTCGCCGAAGTACCCTCCAACATCGCCAAATACTGGCAGCAACGGCATCAGATCTTCTCGAAATACGACGAGGGCGTATGGCTAACAGACGATGCATGGTTTGGCGTGACACCCGAGCCCATCGCGAAGTGAGTGTGGTTGTCGACTCTCTCACCAGTAGTGGCTGGCATATCAACATCTAACTAACGAAAGAAAATTAAAAAAATTTTAGCAAAATCGCACAACACCTCGCCAAAGCCCCCGCCTCGAAAACCATCCTGATCGACGCCTTCGCAGGAGCAGGCGGCAATACCATCGCATTCGCCCTCTCCGGCCGCTGGAAGCAAATCTTCGCCGTCGAAAAAGACCCCCACACCCTCGCCTGCGCCAAGCATAACGCAGAAGTCTACGGCGTGGCGAAGAAAATCTTTTGGATCGAAGGCGACATTTTCGATGTACTCCAAGTCAGACTCAAGGCCTCCGCCAGGCACGCAGTGATTTTCGGGAGCCCGCCGTGGGGAGGGCCATCGTACAATGAGCATGAGATTTTCGATCTGACCCACATGGAGCCGTATAATTTCGAGCATCTGTACGATTCGTTCAACAAATTCACGAGTGAGCTGGTGTTGTACTTGCCTCGAACGTCTGACGTGAGGCAACTGGCGGAGCGTGCCAAGAGGGATCAAAAGCTCCCCATCAAGCATTATTGCATGCGTGGCGCAAGCAAGGCACTTTGTGTCTTCTATGGATCTTTCGAACTCGATCAGGAAGCGGAGTCGTGAAGGCAAACGAGGTGCGCGACAGGCTATCGGAGAAGTCATACGAATCGTTCTGATCATGAATCGTTACGAGTCGGATATCTCATCGCTACGCCCGCTTGGCGAGGCAGTCTCATACGCTATGAACGCAACAATCGCAAGCAAAATTCGTCATTCAGTTGGGCAATGGGACTCGATGCCATGCATTGCCAAGCAGACCGCGGAAGTTCCAGGTTCCGTCGAAGGTTGGAGGCTGTGTGTTGTAGCTCTCGTCCACCGCTCGTACCACAAATTCTGGCTTCTGGTCCTTGGGAAGCTGCTCGGGATTCCACTCAAACTGCCAGAGCGTCCACGTCCATCTCTTCGAGCCCTTTGCATCGTCGTCGCAGAACTTTGCCTGCTTCCAAGTCTTACCGCCGTCTGCAGAAACATCGACTCGAACAATGCGCCTGCCACCTCCGCTGTACGCAAACCCGCTCACAGAGACTGGTGATTCAGCTTCATCGCTACGGCGCGCGATCTTGGTAATTGCACTCTGGACTGGCATTTCCTGGATGCTCTGCGCTGCATCCCAATCCTCAGGTTTGAGCTGTGAGGGAGCCTTGACATCGGGACCAAAGCACTTATAGTCCCGGTTGTGCCAATTCGAGCTCGACTCTTCACAGCCGATCGAGATCTTTCCTACCCATTTAACACTTCTCGTAGCAACAGACCCCGGTACGATTGCTCTTAGTGGGCCACCATGATCTCGTGGCATCTCTTCGCCATTCATCTTCCATGCCAACAGTACATCCGAAGTTGCATCCAGTGCTGTTTTCAGAGGTATGGACTGCTCATATGTGTCAGCTGGAGCGGTCAAGTGGATATAACGGTCGGCTTCTGGGTCCTGGCAGCAAGCTCCTCGAGCCTGGTCGACATGGTAGCCAGCGTCGAGCAAAACATCACGAAGACGGACACCAGTGAATTCTGCAGTGCTGATTGCGCCTACGTCCCAAGCAAGTCCGGAAGTCTTGCCATTTCCAGACTCGTTCATGTGCTTCCTTCGATTGCCAGCACATTGCAGGGTGACTGTGACGGTATGCTCGTGGAAGTTTTGTTTCAAGTCATCGATGGAGTACTCTTTCTCCTCGCCATTGGACAATTCGATGTTCAGCTTGTGATGTTTAGCATCAATGTTCGGAACCCAGAGATGATGTCGGACAAAGAACAGGCGAAGAGGCGTGATGAAGTGGCCTAGAAATGTGGCTGGAGTCTCGGCATTGCAAGGTTTCGCAGTGTGCACAATGAGCTCAGGATCACGGTCTGGGTCATCTTTGAAGATGTCGTCGACTGCTGAAGCGTCGATGCTGTTTCCGAGAAGGGTCCAGTTGACGTTTCCATCGGCATCGAGATCACGCCCATCAATCTCGCCAATGTGATATGTATCGAGGATCTGCTTCACTTGGGGCTTTTGATGAATGCTGAAGAGTTCCCAGTAAGGGTCGATGGACCGGCCACAAGCACGCAGAATCACTTGCCCTCCAGGATGAGAGTCAATAAAGTCAGTGATGTCGTAGACGGAAGATGCGGCAATGACCCACTTGGTTGGCGAGTCTTTGTCGTGCTTGACCACTTCTGACAGTCGCAGCTTGTCGTGATCAGCTGTTCTCGATGATCAGTGTCCCAACATGCGCACGAGCGAGCCGACGACTGCGTGCAGAGTCGAGAGCCAAGCGGTGGACACTCACCTCCACGAGGACTGGCGTTGGCGACATGCTCACGCTCACTTTGCACATCGACATCTGTGTCTCCATCATTATTCACCCACGAGACAAGTGGAGCAGCCAAAGCAGCCACTGCCGAAGCTCCCAACACCGCGACCACCACTCTCGACGAATCGGCCGTCTGTGGCTCACGTTGACGGCCATAGTGCCATGTGGTCTTGCCTCGCACACCATTCCATTGCAGGAACTGTTGTTGTCGATGATATCTCTTCATCAACCCTTGAGGTCCACTCTTCCCGGCCACACCGGGCGCAATCTGCCCGACACGATTCGTTCCCGACGACCTCAGGCCTCGAAAGCGACGAATCGGGCTCGCTGGCGACGTCGGGGGGCCGGAAATGGGTTTGGAGAAGGCTCGGAGCGTTCGCAGCTCGGTGGGAGGCATTTTTGGCGGGCTTGGAGTCTATTTCACGCTGTTCTGAGTGGATGGAAATGGCGTGCTTTCCGCTATCGACGAAAAAGGTCAAATGCGGAGATGCGGAGAAGTGGAAGTCCCTGACTCTTCGAAGGACTTCACGTGACCGGATCGCCGTATCTTTCTCTCGAACGACTTCAGCATAGATGTCCCGACTCCCGACCAGCTCTCGCCCGGCCTCACTGGGAGTATCGACGACGGCCGGCCACTACTCATCTCGGAACTGGCACCAGCAAAGTGTCGGAGTGACTGGAATGTGCCTCCGTTCCCCGATGTGGAAAGGAGTCAACCGGTTCGATCAGTATGCTGAGTCCAGTACGGGAAGGGCTGCATCGAAGACATCCTCCACTTACTTCGGGATTGTGCCACAAAAGCATGGATCAGGAACGAAGCTGCTGATTCCGTGTTGCTGTGCTGGAGTTTGAAGGATCGCTGAAATCGCGCTGATCGGCGCTTTCGTAGAATAACGCAAGTAATTTTCCGGCCACGGTTCCTCTTCAACGGCGTAACGTTCGCGGCCACGAGGTCCATGGCTCAACTTCACCTCGAGGCAGAACAATCGTCGTGTTTGCATAGCAACTGAGCACCGCTGTAACGAAGGCATTAAATGTTTCCAACTTCTCCGCAGCACAGCTATGGGCTTGGTATCCAGTGGCTTTTGCAATTCTTGGGTCAAGACCGAAGACGTACTTCCCCAATTTCACCTGCTGCCAACTGCTACAGAAACACGGTCGACCTTCTCCACATACATGCAAGCCGACACAGCAACCTGTTGTCCTGACGAGCGCTTCTCGACGGCAACGCCAACGCCTACGTCCCCAGTATCGTTATTTCTATAAGATAGCATCTCGAAATCCAGTCTCTCAATCTTACTCCACCGACACCACACTACCATCTGAATCACAGTTACAGTGACTACACGAGAGTACACTCATCCATTTCTACATCCACTGCACAATCCTACCCCCATCTGCATCCCTCGCTCCTTCTACCTTCCTCTCATGCGATGCTTCCTCCATCGCGTAGCTTCAGCAATCCTGCGACCTTGGTTGCATCTGCTGCGCTCCTCTTGGCTGGCACTTCGAGAGGTGCTGGCTTCGATGCGCCCGACAACGTAGCAGTCTACTGGGGTGGGCTCGAAATCGAACCTTCTTCAACACAGCCAGACTGACGCAGTGTAGGCCAAAACTCCTATGGACAATCCTCCGGGCCTTTCGCACAACAAAGATTGTCCACATATTGCGCCAACACGAATATCGACATCATTCCGCTCGCCTTTCTGCTCCAGATCACAACAGGTACAGGTGAGCAACCCGTCATCAATCTCGCTAATGCTGGCGATAACTGCACTGGTCTGTTCACAGGTACAAGTCTCCTCGACTGCCCGGAAATCGGACAAGACATTATCACATGTCAACAAGAATACAACAAGACCATCCTCCTTTCCATCGGCGGAGCTACATATACCGAAGCCGGATTCTCAAGTGAGGCCGTGGCGATACGTGCGGCTGAGCTGGTCTGGGACACTTTTGGCCCGACTTCTCCGGGTGGTCCAGGTGAAAATCCCACGGCTAGCAGGACAGCTTCGACCACTTCGACGAGAAACAGTACCCTGGCGACGATCTCTGGACGGAATACAGGCACCTTGACCACGAATTTGACTGCTACTACGGTCTCGATCGAAACGACGACGTCGCAGGCGACGACTGGAGCTGGACGCGATTTTCTGAGTGTGACTTTGACAGCAGAGCCATCAAGTCCTACGGTCACCGGAAGTAATTTTCTGAGTGTGACTTTGACACCAGAATCGACGTCAAGTCCTACGATCACGACTCTGGATCCAACAATGATTCCCGGACCTTCAAATAAAGAGACCACAACCGAAAACCGCAATCCAACACCTTCAGCCTTCCCCTCAATCCCGGACATCTCCCAAGATACCAATACCCCCTGTCCAACCACATTCGCCACCCAATACCGCCACCCCCATCCTCACGGCCACCCACCCCCGGGAGGAGCAGGCCCAGGAAGCCGACCCATCAACCCAGGCCCTCCCTACCACATCGTCAACGCCGACGGCTCCTCCACCCACGAAGCTCCCTACAAACGTCAAGCCTCCACAATCCTCCGCCCCTTCCACGCCGCCGCAATCGACGGTTTCGATCTCGACCTCGAAACCTCAGTTCAAAATTTCGCCCCTTTTGCCAAAAGACTCCGTCAACTCATGGATTCCGCCACCGATCGAAAACCTCGGTACCTCACCGCAGCTCCGCAATGCGTGTACCCGGACGCCGCTGTCGGAACGCTATTGTCTGATCCCGAGATTTTCTTCGATGCGGTGTTCGTGCAGTTTTATAATAATTATTGTGGGGTGCAGAGTTTTGTGGGCGGTGATGGTGGGAAAGAAACGAAGTTCAATTTTGCCGTTTGGGATTCTTGGGCGATGGCGGAGGGAAATGCTTCGGTCACGGGGAGTGTTCCCTCGAGGAAGAGAGCAGCGGCTCCCGACAATACAAAAGTCTTCCTTGGGATCCCCGCGGGTCAAACTGCGGCTGGATCCGGGTATATGAATGTCGAGGGGTTGAAGCCGATTTTTGAGTATTGTCAGACTTTCACTTCGTTTGGAGGGGTGATGATGTGGGATGCCAGTCAGGCTGTGGCGAATTTTGGGTTTTTGGAAGGGGTGAAGAGTGCGTTGGAAGGGAGTGTTGCGAACTCCCCGGCCACGATCAGTTTCACGAGTCCCACGGCGACTACCACCTCGCCTTCTGCTTTCCGCACGACGACGCTTCTGGAAACGGGCACATCATCTTCTCCGTTCACAAACTCCACGACGACGGTTCTGAGCGCGACGTCGATATCTATGATGAGCAGCGTTACGACTACATCCGCTCTTTTCACAACCTCTCCCACGACGGTTTTGAGCGCGACTACATCCTCTCCTTTCACAAGCACCACCGCCACGACTCCTCCTTCCGCCTTTCGAACCGAAACGAACGTCACTCCCACTCCCTGTATTTCTCTCTCAGGGGATATCGTTAGCGTGACAACGAGTACGTTCATGACATCTTTCGCGACAACCGCGACGATTGCGGAACCTGGTCTTCCGCCTTCGAGGAGGAGGAGGAGGAATGCAAGAGATTTTCATGATGTTCAGAGGGAGGAGAGGATGTTTGGGTTTAGGGTTTTGGAGCAGGAGCATTGGGTTCGTTAAGTACGTGGTTGGGGTTTGATGGATGATGATGGATGGGGTTATGGTTTGAGATGGATATCTGGTGGAGGGATGGGTGGGGTTAGCTTATGATTCGAGATGGGCGAGACTGCGTCCTTCATTTATGGTTGATGATGATGATGATGATGACGGAGTACTGCATAATGGCTGATGAGGATATGCTTGATGGGTATAGAATTGTTTGGAGGTTGGCTTTCACTTTTCACCTTTTCACATGCATCAGGAGAAGGTAGGTCAGTGCGCTGTCGAGTGCTACTTCTCCTGGACGAGCGAGAGTGGTATGAGGTTGAAGGAAGTCCTAAGCTGTTCGGGCGGAATCCCAGCGAGGCTTCGGAACTGCTTCAGCAATGCTATATATAGATTGTACCGAAGGAGGGGAGGGTAGGTAGGCGATGGTATATGAAAAAAAGCTGGATGGAAAGCAGCAGCAAGCAGAGATTTGGGCTGTAGCAAGGCCACGACACTATCCACCCACCGTCGTTGAAGTGATAGTGGAAAGAAACATCGCCCGAAACCTGCGTGTCCTTCATTCAAATCGCATGCTTCCTTTCCACCTCATCTCGAACGCTTCCAACACCTTCTATCGCCCCAGAGCTCCTCTCCCTCTCAGCATATTCTATCTGACTGAAACTCCCAAATCCACACTACTCCTCAGAAAAAAAAATTCCCTTTCGATATCTATCTTCACAATGCCTACCCTACCCTACCATATTCCCGACCCATCATATCCAATGCCTCTCGAGAGCTCTGCTGACATCGACAAGTTACCTCCGGAGAGAAATTCCTGAAGATCTATCTATAGGTCGTCGATGTCCACGGGGTTGACTGAGACTGAACAAGGATGTACGCTGTTATTCCATTTCACAAGACTTCTTTCACACGTATCCGCGCCGACAACCGGCAGCCAGGGATGGAAGTTTCTTACGTCGTGCTAGAGAGGTACGTGACGCGACAGACTTGCACCGTCCAAAGCAGATTCGGAGGTGGACGCCAGGAGATCGTTCAGCGGTCCTATGGCCAGTTTTCATTCGAAGGTTCGATGAGCACATGCAGGAGTTTGTCGCACGCACGCTTGATTGCCAGATTTGCATGCGTGATCAGCTCGCTCGATGAGGACGGCTTTTCGAGCACGATGCTGAACTGAACGTCGACTGGATAGAGTGGTATTTGGGCTGGGTGGTCGCCTTATTTGAAAGGGTAGAGCATCCCATAAGTCTGCGACCAAAGGTTTACTTCGTCGCCTTTTCATGCTCGACTTCCAGGTGAAGCGGGCCTCGTTACGCTAGACAATCTACCAGCTGTCGAATAGGTTAGCATCAACGCATTCAGAGGCGCAATTCGGTCACTCACTGTCCGCCAGCGACTGTACCTAAGCAAACTAATACCGTGAGAATACCGGCGCCACTGAGCATCATGCCGGCTGTGTAGGTCCAGAGAGTATGATCTAAGCCGGTGCAATTGTCGCCGATGTTTGTCCCGTCAAAGATGGTATACTTCTCACCAATGAGACCAATGTCGTCCATCCCGTCCCAAACCTTGTTGGCCCAATTTGAAATATGTTTGGTTTCCCGTTTGTATATACGCCCAAACGTGCGGCAAGGTTGAAGAGGCCACCATTCGAGGCACTGTTCCTGTAGTTGTAGCCGTTATTCCTGAATGGAAATGATAAGTCAGATATATCCAATGTGCCAGAGTGTCAATAATGCGGTCTTACCAGGTGAAGATTCTGCCATCGAAGACCTCCAGCGCAGTCCGCAGCATCCCAACGTGCAGCTTGGGAGTTGAAGACGCCTTGGGCGAGCGCGAGCCAACCTGGCTCGTCATCCGACGGATTGTCAAAGTTCTATTCAGCCGCCGTCATTGCCGCAGCACCGCAAAAATATTGGTCGTCGTTTCCTTCAGCCTTGGTCTGGTTGGGAGGCATGTAATTGTCGTCTGGACCAATCTGGAAAAGCAAGCCATCTTTTACGATTTTGTTGTACGTCGTATACGGTATCGCTGGTATAGTGCCAATAGTTGATGAGACTGTTGAACATAGATCCGCATTCCCACCAGTCTGCGAATCAAGAACTGAGAGTCGGTGCATGAAGGTTGCGATGAGGTTTGGGATGATGTTACAGTTCGGATCACCGAGCTCTCCAGGTATCATGCCAGTTTCGTTTCCAGGGTAGTATGAGATTGCCAGTACGCCCGCCGCCGCCTGACATATGAAGCGCATTATAGTTTGCTCAGCGCGTAGTTGTCGATCTGGCTATAAAGGCTTTCCCACACCAAAGAAAGCTTCAAGCAATGGATTAAGAGAGTTGCGGAGTGAATGCTTTGGAGGAGAACACAATAGAGAGAGCATCGCCGCCCACATCTCAGGGAGAGACAACGTCGGCTGAGGTGGGTTCGCAACCAGTTGTTGACGTACCTTTCAGATTCGCGTCTGTGGACCCATTCGTAATCAACAACGTCTCGGGCGTGTTCACTCTCTTGGCAGCTGGCACATGCAGACCGCAAGCCTTGGGCGGGCCGTTCCTAAGGATTTCCTTCCCAGGCTTGGTCCACGGTAATGTTTCTTATCGACGTTTCACCGAAGTGAAGGCGACGTCTTGTCAGGCTTGTGTTTGGGTGATGTGGTTTCTAACTCCACTTTGTCGGATGCAGGAACACGCCTGATCGTGTTCCCGCATCAACGACGACTCTCATAATCTCTTTCCGTCCTTCAGAGATCATTCGGATGTGAAGTTGTTGTCGATATCAGCAGCATAGAGGTTCCACGGGCTCTGTAAGAACAGGAGGCGTAAGTGAGATGAGGAGGCAGCGAGCTTTTGCCGATTAGGCTCTAACGTGTGCAAGGAGGACTTCGTGATGCTACCCCTTCGTTAGCGCGGATTTGTAAGCACCTCGTCGTTTTGTATCGATACTTTATCGAATTAATGTGCGCCCTATAGCGATGCGATTGTACTGATTTTTGCACTAAAATAATCGTAGTATCCGGTTCTATAATTCTACAATCGTTGCTAATATATTATAATAGAATATAGTAATATAGAAATAGGTAGTATAAAGCCTAGTCGAACAGCTAAGTGCCGCTAAGCCAAGCTCGGCAACCTCCGAGCTTCTATAAAAGGGTAGAATTAGGCTAGCTACTAGCCCTTAACACTAAGAATATACTATCTATACTATATATAGATATACTAAATAGCGCAAATAAAGGGTCTTAATGCATATAATAAGCATATACAATATAAAGATAAAGTATTATAGAACGGTAATAGTGCGATAGCAGATATATATACTAGAAAGCTAGCTTCCCTAAATTCGGACTTTAGCCGAAGCCGCTATTCTAAGTGTACTTAATCGACCGAAATACGTCGATTAAGTATACTTTTAACAATTAATAGGTGTTTCTCGGCTTCTAATTAGTCGACGGCTTTTCTATTAGATTTAGAGGGCTTTAGGCGGCTTTATTATCCCTAAAGAAGCCCCTATCGTATATATCTTATATAGACAACTACTCCCTATTTAAACGTAGATTAGCTTGCCGCGGATCGAGGAGTTCGACGTCGCTATTATCTTCTACTAAGAATAGAACCTTACCGTCTAGTTTATCGTTAGCATTATTCGCCTCCTATTTAACCTCGTCCGTTAGGTCTACTATATAGTTAAGTATAAGGAGGGCGTCGATAGCGGCCTTATTAGCAACGTCCGCCTTACTTGCTATCCGCTTAAGTATAGCAATCTTCTCTTCGGCTGTCTTAAGCTTAGTCTACTTAGTCTACTATAGGTCTTTAGCGTACTTGGTAACCTTCTCGGCTTGTTTAAAGGCCTTAACTCGAGCCTCGAGTTGCTATATATATTAAAGGGCTTTACTAACGTATATTGAAGCCGCGTTTGTAAGTAAGCGCTTACCTATTACAAGATACCGGATATCTCGCATATACTAGCTCTCGGTCTTATAAGCTGCTTTATACTCTTTTCGTAACTAAGTAAGCTTAGTAACAAGGTAAATACGCTCCTTACGAGCCGTCCTATTCTATTAAGCGGTAAGGGTTAACCTTCGCTTACGTATAAGCTAAAGGGCTCTAAGGTCTTCCTTTACTAATTATCGGAGCTTCTCGTATTCGGACTTCTAAGTGGCCTCTACTAATATAGAGTTTACAACGTCTATTATATAGACCTTAGCTTTGCTAATAACGTATTCAAGCTCTTTGTTACGTGTCTTCTGTCTAAGGGCATACCGGAGCCCTTTATTCTCTCGGACAATTATATAATATTAGTTGAGGAGCACCTAAGCCGCCTTAACTGTCTTCTTAAACTTGTTAACTACTCGTTTATTATAGATAGCTAGTTGTAGGCCGTAGGTATAAGGCAGGTAAGTACACCCGAGGTTATTAAAGGTAGATTGTAAGCTCTAGAAGTCTACCTTCTTAGCCGTTGTCTTTAGTCGTTTATAGCTTATTAGTATAGAAGGATTGCTACTAAATAGGAGGCGCTTTGCTAGTATAACCGGTTGCTAGCGGAGTTCTTGCAGTAGTAGCCTTCGTAGCGTTAGCAGTAGACCTGTAACTAGTATTCTTACTACCGGTAGTATATCAATTAGTAACGATTCTACCCCTTCTTGCTACCGCAGTAGTAGAGGTGTTATAAGCCGAAAGGACCGTAGAAGCTTACTAATTACTCGCTCTGCGTCGACTAGCACTATACCTGTCCCTTTAAAGGCCTTCGTTATAATCTTAGGTATAAAGACTTCTTCGTATAGGTTAGAGTAAATTTCTAAGAAGTTAGTCTTAGTAACGGTTGCTAGACTATAATCGGCATAGCGCTACATTAACTAGCTCGAATAGGCCAGTTTGCAAGGTCCAAATACGCTATAATCTAAAGGTTGGTAGTAAGCGGTTAAATAGCTTAGAAGGCATAAGTATAGTATACGATTAGCTAAGGCATACTATAGGAAACTAAATAACTTGTAACTATCGTAACCGTCTATTATTAGCAATCGCTATTTGCCTTCTTTGCTCGGAGGGCAACGGATATTATAATGCTATATCTATTAAGCGGCAATCTTAGTATTAGACTAGCTATTATCAGTTATAGCGAAGCTAGTACCTATATACTAGAATTAGCGCTAGAATTGCCGCAACAACGCTTTAGTAACCTATCTCGCCTTGAATACGAAGAATAGAGGTATATAATAACTATCGGCTCGAATAGCTTTAATAGTTGTTATCTACTTACGACCGCTAGGTTGTCGTATAAAGGTAGACCTAGCTTTACGCGTATAAATAACGACCTAGAAGTTGCGCTCGTAATAACTAGTAAGGTATCCGGCTTCGTCAAAATTAGCTATGTCTTCTACTGCAATATTATACTCTTTTATCGTATCCGCTAGCTTCTTAAAGTATTTAATTAGTACCTCCGGATTATTAGCAACGCTGCGGCGGTAGTAGTCTATTGCAGTAGTCTACCGAAGGCGTAGGTCGTCGTCTTATTTAACGAAGCGAGCCGGCTAGTAGACGCCTATAGGAGGTATTATAAGAGGGTTGTAATCCGGATCTATAGCAAGTATCTGCTCTACCTACCCTCGAATAGTCTTATACCTTAGTAGAAACCCTATTCCGATTATTCTTAGTATTAGCTCTTTTAGAGTAGCTCTTTGCATACCATTTAGTCGCTTCTAGCCCTCTCTATATTGTACGGAGCTATTATAGAGGCTACGGACTCGGTCGTTAAAGGTTATATAGGGGATTTCGAAGTCCTAATAGTAGGCGACTTTAGACTCGTATTCGCCGGCTCGGAAGCGCTCGATTGCCCTTCGGAGCTTCGCTTCTTTGTTAGATAAGGAAAGGGCATTCTAGGATGGATATTTAGACTTCATTTTGTCGCTATTATAGTAGTATATAGCCGGTTAATAAAATTAAATAGTATAGTCGCATTTGCGACTATAGGAGGTATTGCTTATCGAGGTTCGCGGAGGTTGCCGCTTTCTAATCAATGCTAAACTAACTACTAATCGTTTAGCGTCTATCGGAAACAGCTAGCAGCGGCCCTTCCTACTACGCTAACGAAGAGGGTAGTATTACGAAGTCCTCCTTATATACGTTAAACGAAGTTTATCTGCATCCTTCTTCGTATTATAGATTAGCCGGGATTAGTGGATCAGTTAGCACTACTAAGTGCTAAGGCCTAATTTCCTAGTAATATATATAGTCTCTAGCTTAGATAGAACTTGATTCCTTTCCCTATGCAATTCTATAGTTAATTAATTAATAACTTGTTCTACTTAGCTTAATTACAATAGGTTATAAGCCCGGCGTATACGCTTACCTATCCTAACTAATATAGACGAATTGTTATTATAGAGATACTAGTTTGAAGCTAATTCTACTAGCTATAGATTAAGTAGTACCTCTAGAGTTAACAACCGAAATAGGGCTACCCTACACCCAGCACTAAATCAGATCTAAACAATAGTTAGCACCTATAAGCTAAGCGAGCTAAGAAAGAGCTTAGCAGTATAGCCGATACTAAAGAATCCGTAAAAAGTATTAAGGAAAATCGTATCCTTACGAGGACGACTAACTTTTTATTATAGAGACAGATCCTTTAGAAAGAGCTACTAAAGGAGAAAGTATATAGATATATACTTTATAACTTGAAATAGGCAAAGCTATACTATAAACCTCTCCGAATCGACTACGCTAATAATTCGGATTTTAATAAAGCCCTAAGAGAGTTTATAGAGAAGGATAGTATTGCTATAGGTATTCTAGTTGAGATAATCTTACTAGATCTAAGACCTAATTTTAGAAGTATAATTACGTAGAAGACTACTAGGGACTACTACGAGACTATAGCAGCTATATACTAACTAATTATTATAGTAGATATCTATAATACCCCAAAGGATTTCAGAACAGTTACTCTTAAGCAAGCAACATCTAATGGCACCCTTAAGTACTACAAAGACTTCTAAGCGTAGGTATAGAAGCACAAAACAGCTACTAAGCAGTTTAAAAGGGTATACGGGGTTAAGTCTAAGGATATTAAAATCCTAGATATAATAATTAGGATGCTCTTTATTAATAGTCTTTAGTACTATAAATAGCTTAGAAGCTGGGGGCACAATAACAAACTAGAAGGGACTAGCTAGACTCTCGAAGCAATAATTATATCCCTTAGGAAGGAAAAGCCTCTAAGGTTATAGAACTAGCAATAAGGTAAAGCCTTTACAGTTGTTTCTAATATCGAGGTTAGGGATAATAATAAGTAGTATTAGCACTGCAAGCATAAGCATACTAATGCAAAGTACTAGAAACAATATCCTAATAGAAAGCTATCTAAGGACAAGGACAAGTTAAAGAAAAAGTTAAAAGATAAAGATAAGTCTAAATTAAAAGATAAGGATAAATCTAAGTTTAAGAACAAAGCTATAGCTGCTAGAAAAGATAATAGCAGCGATAATAACGATAAGTGCGAATTAGATTCTAACTTAGAAGACTAGGCTTTAGGGGCTTATATCGCACTAACCCTAGTTAATCAAATTCCAACTCCTATTGCATTAGCATCCCCTAAGAACCTAGACAAAGCAATTAAAATCTAGGACACTAGTATATTATACTATATATTCAATAATAAGGACTAGTTCTATAACCTTAGGTACCTTAATTTACCTGCTAAGTTTAGCCTTACTTTAGGCAAAGGAAGCTATAGAATAATTAGGGATATTTACCTTAAATTCTACTAGAAAGGCAAAACCACAAAGATAGTACTTAGAGAAGTATTATACTTACCTAACTCTAATATAAATCTAATCTTAGTAGAGAGGATCTATAGGAAATCTAGATACTTCCTATATAGGCCAACTATAACTATCTAAAGAAAGGATAGCAATGTTATTAGAGAGGCTAAGATTAACAATGTTATAATAGTCTTAAAGTATATTAGGATTGTTCCTCCTAAGAGCTA